ACACTCCGGGTGTGTTTGGGTGGATCCTAGGGGTGGTCATGGGTACCGTATGGCTCTTCCTCTCTGGCCCCATTGCTCTGCTCTGATTACTGGTTGCCATAAATATGGACTGTCTACTGAGGCAAGCTGCAGCAGCTGATGGAACTAGCCCAAAAGAGGTCAGATGGACGGCAGTCAAGGCCATAGGCACGGGGCCACCCAAGTCCTATGGACGCACATCTCATCCTCTGTACCCTGGATGCCAGGGATGAACCCCAGGGCTTCAGTCCTGCTTTGGTCTTATTATTTTCTATCCTTCATTCCTCCCTTTCAGAATGGGAAACACATTCTACCTTGGAATTATGTAATTTGATTTTTGTACAGGTTGATAGCTGAGAGTTTACCTTGAGTCTCAGAAGAGACTTAGACTTGGGTTTTTTAAAAATGCTGGAGCTATTCAGATGCAGAAAAATGAATTTTTGCATTTCCACTTGGATACGAGAGTTGTACCATGCTAGGTAGAATTATGACCTTGTGTTTATTTGGAAATCCAGGGTGGTTAAGGAGACGTGTTTGGGGATCAAGCTGGCAGTGGGTGTAATGGGGCAGGTAGGCTGGGGAGTCACCCAGGGGATTGACGGAACGGGCACTGGGTATGCCTGGTGGTCATGGATACGATGCACTGTCCCTGAATCCTTTTCTCTGACCCAGATCCCACATCCTTCTTCCCAGCCACGATGAACTAAAGCATCTTTGCTCCACTGTGGTCTTCCACCAGGATGTTTCTGCCTTGCGGCCAGCTGACCATGGACTGAATTCTCTGAAGCCATGAGCTAAATTAAACCTCTTCTCCTTCAAGTTCTGGGTGTAAGATGTTGTGTCCCACGACTAGAAATCTGACTAGCACAAAGAGCAAATAAGGAGGTCAAATTATTAACTGCAGGTGACTTTTCTATAAGTAGACATCCAAAGTCATACTAGAGTGGTACTGTACCTCCCAGCAAAAATCATACCATAAATGTTTCTCAAAGATTTGAGAGAAAAACAAAACAAAACAGGCCATGAGTTCTTTCCACAACAAATCTGCCACGCCACAGGCACTTGCATGGTTCACCTGAACCTCGGGCTTCCCCTGACTCCTTCCTGCCTGTAGATCCCCCTGCACTGCTCAGCAGCAGAGCCAAGCTGGATCCCTGCGACAGGAACCTCAGCTTCAGAAGTGTTAGGCAACTCGCATGAAGTGGGCTGGAAAGATTCCTATGAAGCCAGCTGGCTCTCTGGGCTTTGTTGCTTTGTCCATGCAGAAAGCAGCTGGTTACCCCCCCCCCCCAGGCCACTGGGCAAACATCCATCTTTGAAACAGAAAACCTCCCTTCTGCTAGGGCAGGAATGCTTCCCAGCAAGCTTCTCTCCCCAGAGGTGAAACCCAAAACATAGTTGTGACCGGAGTCTTGTCTACCAGCTCTTCCTCAGTGGAGGCACAAATTCATAAATACTAAAACAGTGTTGCTGAGGATGCTCAGGCTGAACGGGAAAGGCTTATGGGTATCACTGTGAGGAATCTAACCTCAAATATTTATTCTACTGGCTCAGAACACCTGCTCAAATTTCCATGCGGTAAAACATGTTCCACACACTGAATTAGACCTCAGCTACGTTCAGAAATCCCACACTGATGGGAAAAGAACTGTATGCAAGACAACTTGCACAGCTGGTAGCCATGCCCTGAAGAGATGCAAAGTGTTCTTATGTTATTTTATGTTGATACGCTGTCGGGTTACAGTTTAGCAACTGGATGGTGCACAAAAGGTTTTTAAGAAGAAATTTTGGTAGCTTGAATTTCAGCCTGACCATCACACAGCGGTTGCCATTTTTCTGTTTCGGTCCTCAGTCCTGTGGCAGAAAACACGAGCAAAGCAATGCTCCAAGAAACCACTGTGAGGGTTGGTAAGAAGTCTGCTGAGGTTGGCAGGCCCTTCAGAGTGCTCTAAGTTAAGAAAGTAAAGTGAAAGCTTGCAAGAAAAAGTGACTAGGAAGGAGGCGGCCAGCAGGGCTGTCTGCACCTCTGTGTTGAGCTCCTAAGGTCAAGGTACCCACGTTCAAGGCTGGGAGAGAACTTGTTTCTCTCAACGCATTACTATGACTGCAATACATGTGAATCTCTAAAATGAGAAGAATCTTTTGGATTCACCCAAACTAGAATCTTCCGGTCTGGGCACAGTAGGACCCCCATCCCACTGCCCCCAGCATGGGAGCTCTGGAATGCAGCGAGGTGAGACCCCAGCCACTGGCCGGGGCCTCCATGGCTGCTGGGCACAGTGGGCAGTCGTGCTAGCCCCATCCTACTGGCTTCCAATGGAGAAGATGGAGCGTCATGGGATGGGACCTGGTACCCTGCAGGGAGAGGTTTGAGACGGAGGTCCAGTTTGCCCGCGGTGACAAGTCTGTCTCTGGCTCCTCATATGCATGCCCCTCCTCCCCCATCACACAGTGAGGCAGAAGTGCAGCCGGCTCCACACCAGACTGCAAAAAAGCACCTCCCAAGTGCTTAGCACCAGGCATGGTCCCATTAACTGAACCGGAACTCCCAGGGGTGCTGCCCCACCCCTGCGTGCCAGCTCTGCTGAGACAGGGAGGGGCCTGGAGGAGGGATCGGTTCATCAGATCGCATGCACCCTCACACCAGCTGCAGACACTAGGAAGAATACTGAGTGAGGCAGGAGAAAGGCTTTTCTAAAACCATTTTTTTCTCACTGTAAAAACTATTCCCCGTAACGAACTGAAACATTTAAAACTCTACTCAAAATTCACGTATTGCTGAAATCCAACCCTGACTGACTGTGCTCTTCCCCATGTCACTCCTGACGTTTAGGGATATACCCTGCCATTAAGTCGGCAGACTTGAAGGATGTGGGGGTTTTCAGTGTATAAAGAAATAACGCTGCGGATCATAACACTACAGTTTCATCGCCCCGTCTCGAAAGCACTTTGCTGATAATCACATTCATCCTTATAATTTCCATGATAATAGGCCCCATCAGTGTTTTGCAGCAGGGGTGGGTAGGCGGAGAGCTCTCCTGGGCTCCTGGGAAAAGTGACTGCAGGTTGAGGCAGAAGCTGCTGGGGGAGCGGTGCTGAGTGACCTGGAAGGTGGGCCTTGTGTCCCTGCAGCCCAGGACCCCACCTCACATCTCTCCCTGTCGTGTTATTGCAGAGAACAGGCAGCTTCTGGAGGAACGGGGAAGGTGACACGCAGCACAGCCAGTGACTGAGCCTCAAGAAGTGGCAGAGACTCAAACTAAAACCTGGAGCAACTTTGGATCTGACTGCAGACTCATTTGACAGACAGGTGCAGACTGCCGCATACAAATGAGGGGGGCTGGGGCTACCCCAGGATCGCTACTGGATGTCTGCCTGGGAATCTTCTGAGCTGGTTCAACATCAGAATATCTAAGTTCTCTCACCGAGTTTTAGTTACAGGCCTTATTTTTGGTAAAAATGCCTATTGGCAACTTTAGCCACCCTCCCTGCTCACCTGCATCATCCCTAAGTAACTTTTCACAGTTAAAAATAAAAACAGGGCGGGGGGGGGGTGGTTAGCTCAGAGGCTGAAGCACTTGCCTGGTAAGTGCAGATCGTGAGTTTGATCCCCAGTACCAAAAAATAATCATCATCAAACCTTCCTTCTGAGCTAACTGGGGAAAACTGTTGAGAATAATGTCTGAGGTCCTGTAATTATTTCAACCACAGGAAGTCTAACGGCTCCCTGGGCTTGGGCAGCATATTTGGAAAAGGACAGCACCAGAAGAATGACAGCTACCAAGCACAAGGCCCCGGGTTTGATACCCGGCACACACACACACACACACACACACACACACACACACAGAGTGACAACTGTTTGTTCCTCAGTTTCCTCACGTGTCTGTACACTGCAGCGGAGGCACATACTGTCTGTCAGCAAACACATTTGTGTAGCTGAAGCCGCAGAAGGCAGGCTGCTCCCTCCCAGGAAGAGAGTTGAGTTCGAGCTCTCCGCTGCGAGGGTGAAGACTGAGCAGGTTATCGCAGCTTGTTTCCCAAGCTCAGTTTCTGAGCTGCAGTGAGTCCACTGTGTATGCAGCACCCACCAGCCAAGCCACACCACCTGCACTTAGGGCACTGGGGACGCGCAGCTCTCGGGCTGCTGGCCTCTAACCCCAGTCAGCATGGGCAAGTTAAGCCGTTAGTTTGCATGAAGAGTTCACTCTGACCATGGGACAAAAATTAAATACTGCCGAGAAATCTGTGTCCTTACAGCCCTATTCTCTCACTCTAATGCAGTTCTAGAACACTTATATGGATTATCTACTACATTTTGTTGCAAAGGGATTTAATGCTTCTAGAAATAAAACCTAGAAGTACACTGAATGTATTAAAGGACTCACGTAAAAAAGACAATTTTGGGAGAATTCTAGAAAGTGCAAATAGAACAGTCCCACAGATAAACCATTCTCCGTTTAAAAAAAAAAAAAAAAAAATTAACAAGTCCTAGCGCCCTCTACTGGAGCCAAGCTGGAAAACAGAAGGCAGAGCAGTTAGCCATTTGGCGTGGTTTGCTGCCCTTTACCCAGGTTTTAAAGCGGAGACGTCAGGTGTCCAGAAAGGCCCGGGCACACAGCTCCGTCCATGCACTAGGCTCACAGGTTAACGAGGAACTCACTAGCGGGTGCTGGTGAGCACAGTCCTCATACCTGAACTCGCGGCAGCTAGCCACTGCCGGCCCGGCCCAGAGTCCTGGCCTCTGTTCAGACCTGACAAGCAGCCCCTGCCCTTCCGTCCCTGTCAGTGGGGCGCCTGTTGCCCACCTAGCAAACCTGCTCAGCTTGGTCTGAGCAGCTGTTCCCACGGGCACCAGGCCCGCTAGGCACAATGAAAGTCAACTTTGCCTCCTGCAGAGCATACTTGTGTCCAAAAGTCTAGACCTTCGCTTTAGCTTGGTGTCCAAGTGTTTTGATCCACCCAAATCAGAAAAAAAATAATGCACCAATAAATGTATTTATTTATAAATTATAGAAGTGTACAATTGTAGAATATATTATGTACATTATAAAACACATAAAAATAGAAATTTAAAAGGATGAGATTAAATACAAATAATCATTTTAACATTTTCTCAATGGATTGATCATTGCATACTCCTGGGATGCACACCCCCACCTGAACCCACAGTCCTAAAACACGCCAGTGACTGCTGTCACTGTCAATTAGGATTCCGCTCAGAACCAGGAAAATGGACACGATCAAATCTTGAAGTCCTGCAACTTAAAAGTTTGGCATTAGATTTAAATGTCTAAGGGCGAGCGGTGCCAACTTCTTGAGACGCATCTGGACTGATCACTGCACAGCTGGTAAGTCACACTACGGGTCACCAGTGCTTGCCTCACTGGAAGGCAGACTCCACAGAGGACTTCATGAGCTGATTCAGAATACAAGGCAAAAAGGCTTTAAAGCAGCATAACTAAGAATAAAGTTTTTCCTGTCTCAAAGTGTGTCTGGGGGAGGGGGGGAATAAACTAACAGCACGTCCCTAAAAAAATTCTTCTGGCGATGGGGAGGGGTCGCCAGTCTAGGTAAATGGACAGAAACGGACGGCCAAATATCTGCTCAATTGAGGGTTTTTAACAAGGACTGTGTAGCCCTCCTAGTCTCAGAGTTGTGCACACAGAAACTTGGTCAATGTGATGGTAAACAAATGCTACCAAAAAAGTACCGAATTACATGTGAAATACCGATCGTTACTTAAAACTCCAGGATATGGGTTGGACTGGCTGAACCCAGAGGAAGAACAAAGGTGGTGGGAAGAGCAATGCCCTCTCCCCACGCCCACACCAGTGCTGGCACCCGCGCTGGGCCTCCTGCCTCCCAGCGGCCTGGTCCGGCTGCACAGCGCAAGGCGGGACAGAGAGAGAGAGAGCAGAGCACAAGTCCTGGTCCGCATCGGAAGACAGGAAGCCTCATCTGGTGCACTCAATTACCAAAACTTACAAATAAAAAAAGCTTCAAGAGACGTAACACCTGCCTGACTGCGAGACGGGGACTGCCGCGTGGAAAACACAACACAATACCTGTTATGCTTTCAACTGTGGCAGCGAGCAGTCTCCTGAAAGGCTGCAGTTTAACAGATAACCAATTTAAAGAGAGAAGCATTACACAATTGAAAAACTTCATAACCAATTTCACTGTCTGTATACATACACTATTTCATCTATATACGCATCTGTTCTATAGACAAAATGTCACTAATTTTTTGGATAGAACACTGAAACTTCACTGTTTCCATTAGATGACACGTAAACCAGGATGAATCGTTAACATCCTTCCAGGGAAAAGAAGGAGGGACGTGAAGCCTGGTGACCTGGTGGAGACATGAGAAGCGTGCCAGTTCTCCCACTCCTGTAACTCCCAAGGAGCCCGTCACTACAGGAACTCGCTTTTGGTTTTCTCGGCCAGGGGATGTTCACACACGGGTGAAGGGAAACAGAACAACTTTCTGTTGAGGTGACGCTGCTTATTAAGAACTGTGCTGAGTTATTAGGCTGTGAAATCTTCCCTTCTCTCATTTCCTAAAATGAGAAACTTCGACGAACCTTGTTTAAAGCACAACAGCCACTAGAAAAGAAGCTGTTCCAAGAGAACTAGAAAATGCAAATGCTGCCTGGCGCAGCCTCCTCACCACGCCGGGCGTCTTCTCTAACCTCCTCTCCTCCTCGTGGCCCCAGGCAGCCTGCACCTGCGGGCACACGGACAGGACCAGGATGCCACAACTGAGCCTGGTGGGGCTTCAGAGGACTGCAAACCACCCCGCTGCAAGATGAAACCAACCCTGCCGCACTGCCTCCCGCCTGCAAGTCATTCCTACAACTGGGGATCAAAGTTCCAAAGTAAAAACATGGCTGATTATTTGATGGGGAGTATTATACCCTGTTTAGAACCAAAAACAGGTCATAGTTTTGATAACTATCAAATTTTATTTCTAGTAACTATGATAACAAAATACCAATGGCAATCTTGCATGGAGAATAGCAACCTTTTAAATAAACAAGGTCACAAGTTGGTATTCCAGTAGGACTTTGGCCTGTGGAGACTTTTACACCATTATCACAAATCAGTCTTTTAACACGTTTCCTGCATATTTAACAGCAATCTCTCTCATGCCTCAGTGCTTGGTCAGGCACCCCGTTTCGCTCTGTGTGTTAAGCATTACCCCTTTGGCTGTTCTACGAGGAAAAGGCCCCTCACTCAGGAGTCTGCCTACTGCCGCACAGACAGCAGCCACTTCAGTGCAGATGTGCTGCATTACAGCGGGGCTTCAGGTCACGGCTTCACTTGTTCTATGATTTTGAAAACACGGTCACAGTCACGTTTGTCACCCGATGCAGAGTTTGCAAACAAAAACAAAATTTTGCCCAATGCTTCTGTTTGTGAACCAAGTTGTTTGCAAACAAAAGCACTTAGGAATCGAGGCACCACTACTTATTAGTTGAAAAGTAAAAAAATGGATGATCCTCTTTAGAGCCTTTCCCTGGGAGTAAAAACACACAATTACAAATGTAAAATGAGTCAAACTTCTATTTTATTTGACGGGAGTTCAAAATTAATACAAAAAAATGCCTCCTTTGCACGTTGTATTCTGTTCCTTGAAAGACTTCTGATAGGTAGATTAAAAGCTAAGTGTAGTTCAGCTTTTGTAGTGAACCTCGTAAAAAAAGTTTTAATAGCATAAACTATCAATATCAGAGTGTATGGTCCCACAATCATTTTAGACCTATAGCTTATCAAAAAAGTAAGATCCCACACTGATTGCTAAGCGAGAGGCTTAAAACTATCTTAAGCCATTAAAAAAAAAAAAAAAAAAAAAAAAACCCTTTTTAATAGTCCATCAACTGTGAAATAAGAAAGGAAAACCCCAAAGGCACCCTCTATATTATGTGGAATGTGAGAGAATGCCAATTTAATGACCAACACAAATGAAAATGAAAGACTTGAATTCACGTATGGAGCTGTTTCATCACCTGTAAAATATCAATAAATGAGTAACAGAGCTTACTGAGAGATTAAAACAAGCAGATGTTATTTAAAACACAACTGTGATTCTGCCATACTTCAGTGCTTACTAAACTAAAGCTGAACAGAGAAAAGCTGCACATTTATACAGGTTTTTGTGTACCTTCACTTTTACTGGGGCCATAAACTGATGGGATGATACACAGCCTGTCTTCTGGACAGTTACAACAACGAGGGATTCACCACTTGCAGATCAAATGACTGCACCGCCCCGCACGTGAAAGGCTGAGGCACTTTCCCACTGCTCCACAGCACCGCAGAGGCCTGTCTTATGCACCCATTTCTAGGAAAGAAACTAACACTTCCTTCAGCATCCGTTCCGCACTGGTCTGGTTTATTATATATTTCCAAAACAACAAAAAATCTGCAAATATGTGCAAACGCAGTGGTCCCTCACAGGACTGCTTAGTCATCCTCCTCCTCCTCCTCCTCTTCCTCCTCAAAGCTGTCTTCAAAGCCGTCGCTGTCCTCCTGGTCTTCATCCCCCTCCACGGCTGTGTCCCACTGCGGGTGATTTTCTGGCACAGGCTTGGCCTCATGAACCTCCAACTGCAAAGCAAAATTGAATACAGACATCAGGCACTTGGGGAGGAACAACGGAATAAACATCCAGCAAAGAAAAGGTTTTCTTTGACCACAGCAATTGTAAAGAAATGAATTTTTAACTCTAAATGCAACACATTCATTTAGAAGATACTTCATTTGAGTGAATCAACTGACATATAAATGCAGTTAAGTTTCTAATACAGTTTGGTACCTTAACTTCAAGAACTTACACCACCTGAGAATGTAATTCTGTGTAAGACTAATATGACTGTGATTGTGCAAGAACCTTAACAGAAGTCTCCTGAAGGAAGAAAAACTCAAGTATGACTTTCAAAGAGACGTTCTGCAATCTCTAGTCTGGTGAAGTAAAATTCTATAGCAAACAAAAGAAACATGGAGCTCTAACGGGAAAAAAGAGGCTTTCCCTGGCCCCCCTTGTTCTCTGCACTTTTTTTTTATGAAAAGCTCACGTGAATGGTAAACACTGATAGGAATGCGCTTCAAATGAAAATGGAAAATATATGTTCTATGATGACTAAAAATTTCACATACTAATATAAATAGTTAACAGAAAAACATGTATTATCATTTAAATAACTGCTCCAATAAAATCTGTGGTAAAAATTAATATGGTTTCTCTTTCTCTTTTTTTGAGACAACTGTTTGTTAGCTTTGAACTCACTATGGAGCCTACGCTGCCCTTGAACTCATGGTGATCTTCCTGCCTCAGCCTCCCAAGTGCTGAGATCACAGGCAGGCACCACAGGGAAACTCCCCTGAAAAGAAAATACAGTCTATTTGGTGAGGGCCTGTTAAGTTACAGTCTATTATAACACATTAAAATAATTTATAAACAAGGTTCTCTCCCTTTTTTTGAGACAGAATCTCACTCTGTACTTCAGGCTGGTCTCAAACTGGAGGCAATCCTCCAGCCTCAGCCTCCCAAGCACTGGGATTACAGGAGTGCATCACCCCAACTGGCCAGTCAAGGTTCTTATATTCCTTAAAATCTAAGTCAGTAACTTAAACTTATTATTGAAAAAGTATGAGATGATTTGGTTTTCCTTTCTTTTTTCTACATTTCAAAACAAGAAATGCTTTTCTTATACTTATCCAACCACTCAAAAAGGCCACTGTATGTGCTGAGAAAAGTTCTTACTCTTACCTTTAATGGTTTAATTTGATCCAAACCCATATAAGAGTCTGATCTCAAAAACACTGTATACTGATAATTTCCAGGCTTGCCTGGTGCAGGAAATTTTAGTTCTACCTAGAAGATACAAATCAGCATTTAAAAGTCTGTATTTTGTGGAGGCAACAATAGTATACAATTAGTACCAACAACAAACAAATGTGATACTACGTAAACCATAAATCAAATCAGGAAGAATTTATGAGGTTAATCTCTATCTCCACAATTCAACAAGCAATAAAGTAACCACTCAACTTCTATGTTGATTATCTAAGCAACTTGAAGAAATTAAATACAGTATGAAGTATAAATAAAAGACTGAAATTAACATAATAATACACCACTAAATGGGACATAATTCTTGCCAACTTTATTTCAATGATAAAATGTCCAATGCTTTTGAAGGTTAAAATGGTATTTTATTTTCTCATCAAATCATAAACTGCAAGTAAAAACAGTCATAAACTCTCAGAAGTTTTACTTCCACTTGGGTGAAAAACACATTTTTTTTTTTTTTTTTTTTTGTCTTTTTCGTTTTTATTGGTACCAGGGATCGAACTCACGACTGCCTGCTTGCAAGGCAGGCGCTTATGCCGCTGAGCTAAATCCCCAGCCCCGAAAAACACATTTTTAAAATGACATTTAGATGCTCAAGTGATTTGCCTCCAATCTTCAAAATTTTATAGTCAAGATTATATATGAAAGGAGGTCATTAAAATAATTTTTAAAATCATGGGAGAATCTTAAATTTTGTTTAACCTTTCTAACATAAACCTGAATGCTATAAAAAAAAAAAACTTTTAAATCATACTGTGAAAAAAGAAAATGGATTTAAAAAGGTTAAGTATTTATAGTTCTAACCCCCCACACCCAGGTTTATAGCACTGAGAATTCTACCACTGAACTGTATTTGCCCTTTTCCGGCTTGTTAGAAACAATCCTATTAGGGGGAAGAAAAAAAAGACTGAGGAGAGATACCTATGTTACAAATGGCTGATTTCACCACATTTAAAAATCCCAAACCAATTTAAAGAACACTACAAAAATGAACAATGGCCACAAATAGACACAAAAAGAAAATCTGACTTGAACACACTGAAGGTGTCTGGAAATTCACTGTTACATAGAAAATCGAAACTAGAACGAATACAATGAGCAAAGTAAAAATTGGTTTAGACAGGAATTATCAATGAACATTTGCTAAAATGACTGGGTAAACGGCTGGGAGTAGAGGCTATTCACTCATGGTCATGTATCACCCACTTCTACACCCGGGGGAAAGCCTTAGCACAGCCACTTTAAATCACCAAGGGAGTGGACCGACATCGCATGTCCTGATGCCATGCACTATGCACACCATCAATGTAGTGCGACTGCAAAAATTTAAGATGAATATAATGAATATTCAATGAGGAAAATACATACTTTGAAAATCTACAAAATATCGTGCCTACGTTCCTGAAACAATGTCAAAGGCATGAAAGATTAAAATAAAAACTGCAACAGATATCAGTGGAGTATCTGAGGAAATCTGAATACAAACTGCACTGTTTGGATATAGTGCCTTACTCATGTGAAACTGTTTGAATGGCATAATTGCATTTGCGAAGGAAAAGGAAACACATGTCTAAGTCATACTATTGAAAGAAAACAGAAATGTGCAAAACAAGGTATATACTACCTATTGTGTAAAATTTAGGGAGAAATAACAATGCATAACAATTTTAAATATTCATTTACTTAAAATTTACATACAAGTATCACAAGATGAACACACACAATTTTGATAACACCAATGATTTCTAGGGAGAGGAAAGGCCAACCAGGAAATTAGATGTAAGATGTTTTGTCTTTATGTACCTTTTTGTTGCTGTTGGTACTGGGAAATGAACTCAGGCTGGAGATTTAGCTCAGTGGCATAAGTGCCTGCCCGGCAAAGCACAAGGTCATGAGTTTGATCCCCAGTACCAAAATTTAAAAAAAAAAAATTTCCACTCTTAAAAATCTAAATCATCAATTTTGAGATTAAAAACAAACAAAAGCAAAAAAACAGATACTTAACAATCTAATAAAAACTAAAAGCACAGGGCTGGGAATTTAGCTTAGCAGTTTATACAGCTTATGTGCTTGCCTGGAAAGCACGACGGTTGTGAGTTCGATCCCTAATACCCCCCACAAAAGTAAAAATTTTTATAAAATATCATCAAATTATGGATAGGAGGGAAAAAAGTACGTGACATTAGATTCAAGAAATGAAAGCTGGCAAAAATATACTGACTGACAAGTTGCCTTCCTTGAACAATTCTTTAAAATATTCCAACAAGCACACCTCTGCAACACCACAGAACAGTTTACAAATGTGTCGTAACAAACAGAACGCAATAAACTAAACACGATAAAGTGCTATTTAAAAGAAGACTTTCTGAGGCACCATGATGCTGCATGCTGTTAAGAACAGATACGCCGAGTGATTACCTCTTCTGTTTCTTTTAGTGTACACACATGATACGGCATAGATATTAATGTCTGCTCCTTCCGATCTGCAATATAAAGCCACCACCATTCTTGTTTTTCCTGGAAGGCAATACAAAAATAAATTTTTAAAAATGAGAGAGAGCGAGCGAGCGAGCGAGAGCGCACCAACAGTCCCAACTGGAGAACAGTTTGGGTTTGTCTCGTTTTATAGATACCGTCTTTGTTTTGCTCGCTGCTACGTCCTCCTGGTTCTTCAAATACACACTGAATAATCTGTTCCTAACCATTTGTATATCTAGTCCTTGCTCTACAAAATGATTCCTTAAAGCCTATTCATGAATCTGTATGTTAAAAGCCCAATTTACCTTAAAGGACAAAAGATATTCTAAAAAACCAAAGACACAATTTATTACAGTATCACAGAAACAGAGGTCTCGAAACACAGGCCACACAGCAGTAGAGGAGAGCGGTAGGCAAGCAAGCTAAGCCTCACCCGTGGTGGCAGCCCTGCTCAGGAGTGACCCTCGTAACTCAACTCTGGGCAGTGGTCTATCTTTAGAAAAACCAACCATACCCTAACCCTGAACCTAACAACATTCTGCAGAATGTGATTAAATGTATCAACCCCACTAAAGTACATGGCCTTAATTCACATTTCTTTGTGTAGCTCTGTGAGGTGGCCACAGAGCATGTTTATTTTTTCTTACATACTTGGAAGTGAGTTTGGGCTTGCCTTATTCCACAGATACTATCTTTCTAAAGGTAGCTCACTAGCCAGAGTTTTTGAATTACAAGAGTCACTCCAGAGATCTCTTAGAAAAACGGCCACCAAAAGCTCATTTCCGTGACACAGAACAGGGTGCAAAACTTGTTTATTCGTGTGACATAATCAGTCTACTAAACAAACTCAATCTGTTACTTCGAGGGAAAATGACACTCTGTTCAAGCCAGCAGAGAAAGAGGCTACATTCAAAGACAAACTGATAGGGGTGACAAGTAAACAATGGAATTTTTGACACATTTAGTAGGGATTCTGAAGGAGAGTGAGCCACGGCCTTCTTTCTTCTAACTGGAACGTGATCATCTGTCTCAGTTTCAGGAAGACTTTGAGCGTAACTTCTCAATCACAAAAGATCCCCCAGCTGGGAAGGAAATGACCCACAACTCAGTTGTGAGTAAACCAGGTAAACACACTTGGTCCACACTAGAAGAGGATCAACTGCTTGAGACTGTAAATGATGGTGGCCTTCAAAGCACGCCTGAGACAACTTCAAGTCTTCACCTATTTGGGATTAAACTCAAGACAGAATACCCCGACTCTGCCTGCCTCCATTTCCAACACTCTGTTTTGTGAAGCAGGTTTTCTGAGCAACAGCAACTAAAGTGAGACCACGGAGCAGACTGGACAAAAGCAGCACGCTGAGCAACACCACTGCCTCCCATCACCCCCGACTGCGCTCTAGGAAAGCAGCCCAGGGTGCCCACCGAGTCTCCACTATGGTGCCTATATAATTACTCCACCTCTATATATAATAATGAAGTCCTTAATAACGTGAATGTGCCTGAATCATCCCGAAATCACCCACCCCACCTCACCTCCCAACCCATGAAAACACTTTGCATGAAACCAGTCACTGGTGCCCAAAGTGCTGGGGACCACTGATATGGCAGCTTAGTAACCCGACCTTGTAACAAGCAAAAGCCCCAATAGGAGTGGGAGGGATCTGGGTAGTCAAGATAAATACATAGAAGATGTGATACTCCTTCAAGTATCTCACGTTCTAAAGGCCTACCTTTCACTGCACATTTTAATAAGCCTGGCGTTTCTAGCTGAACTTCAAAAAGATCTGGAGCAGAAAAAGAATGGAGTACAGAAACTGCCACGAGAACGCTCAAAGACAGCAGGGGGAATGAAACAACTACAGAAAGGCAGAGAAGTCTTTTCTGAGATAATGTACAAGGCCAAGCAGTCTGGAAGCCCCAAACCTCAGTGTGCGCAGCGGCCAGCACACTCGTGTCAGAACTCTCTGGCCATCTGCTTAACACCGCCTGCCGTAAGAATGGGGTAAAGAAGGTGCCGTACTAAGGAGGATTAAAGGAAAATGTTTCAAAAGCGCATGCTTTGGAAATAAAAGTAAACTAGAATATTCTAAATATTCATTTAATCAAAACAGCACTAACTTTTAATTTTCTAAAACTTAAAAAACAAACAAAAAAACTATTGAAAACGTTCATCTTTATACCAAATTCTTTGCACTTTCTGTTTCAACCATAAGAAAGAGTTTATTATCTTTTTCAAAATGCTTTGTTAAGACGCCAGGGATTTAGCTCAGCAGCATAAGCGCCTGCCTGGCAAGCGCCAAGTCCTGAGTTTGATTCCTGGTACCACAAAAAAAAAAAAAAAAAAAGCTATCTTAAATTCAGCTAAAAGCTCTTCTGTTTACCTGAAGATACAGAAGCAATGCAAGATTAGTTAAGTCTAACAATAAATTGAAACTGCATGATGATGAGCAGCAACTAACAAGAAAATTAAATTTTGCCTAACCTGGGGGTTAGGATGACCACAGTAGGGATATTTGTAAACGTTTTTGTCTATGTGTTTTGAACACAAAGTGTGTAACACCACAGTGATCTCACAGTGGAATGTTAATATCCGGGCTTTGTAGGTTGACATCTCAAGAAATAACAGCTACATGAATCTACTGTTGCAGCATAAAAATAGGACTGTGATCTAATAAAATTTTATTTACAATAAAGTCTCATTCTATAAACAGGCAAGGAGCTATATTTCCCTTACAGAATATATACTGCCAATACTTGCTTTATAGCCACACAAACCTGGACTTCTTTACCTCTCTGTATCTAGTTTTCTTTTTTTCTATTTTTTCTGGTACCAGGGATCGAACTCACAACCATGCGCTTGCAAGGCAGGTGATTACGTCACTGAGCTAAATCCCCAGCTCTGTATCTGGTTTTCTGACAGGGTGCATACTGGCAATCCCAGTTACTTAAGAAGCTAAGGGAGGCGGATCACAGGTTCAAGGATATTATGGGCAACATGGCAAGATTCTACCCCAAAAAGAATATAAATAAGTCAATAAACGATAAACAGAGCTTTCCTTCTCCATCAAACGACGCATGCCTATCTTTGGTCAAGTTATGAAGGTAAAGTGAGATAATAAAAGTATGTATTAGAATGTTAGCACACGAGGCACATTAAATGACAGTCATATTAATGACACTGCATCTGTGCCTAGATTCTCTGATGCCCATCTTAGAAAATTGAAACAAATATTGCATGAATTATTTGACACTTCTTTTTTTTTTTGGCACCAGGAATCGAACTGCGGACCTTGAATTGTCAGGCAGGCACTTATGCCACTGAGATATATCCCTGGCCCTATTCGAGACTTTTAAGGAATTTCTATTGTGTATGAGACTCCCAACCATTCTTAATATGAAACATACAATAAATAAGATTCAATAATATATAAGCCAATTAATACTGATAAACCATTCTAAGGGAGTGAATGAATAATATGTGACTTATAAACTAAGCAAGGTCTAAAATAAAACTATCTGTCCGTGGCTAAGTTATGCAGCTCACCAGCAACCCACAGCACTTTTTAAACCAATCAATGAGTAAAATTTACTCACCTGATTTCAGGCTGCTTGGTGCTGGCAGACTGCATCTGCAATGAGCAACATGCCCCTCATGGATGGCCCAAAGCTCAGGCCGTCAGAGGATCAGCTGTGCATGAAGATGGAACCTGGGCAGACTTCCCTCCATGCAGAACAACTCTGTGCAGAGCCCTCACTTATTATCAGGAGAACCAAACTATTTAGGGGTTTGCCACAGGCAGCTCCTAGCATCTCTGGACTGACATTCTCAAGCAGGAAGATTTATACATGAAATCCCCAGTCAAACATGAGCAGGGAGCAAAATGCCCTTGGTAAACTCTTAAGTGTGTGGAACAGCTTCCCTGAACTGGGGGCAATCAGTTCTTCACTTCTGCTCCATGGGGAGAATCATCCTTGGAAACACCGCATCAAGGAATCCCCAACTAATTTGAAAGACAAAGACTAGCGAGGAGCTCGCATTATTACAAAACAAAGACAAGGAAGCAAGTAGTGTTACAATGCTCTCTCCTTAACTTGGGATTCAGTCCTGCTCAGCTCTTACCAAAGTTTGTTCAGGGCCAAAAACACAGCTGGTTCTAGAGCCATTCCCACAGCCTGGGCCAATTTTCCTGGGCTCAGAAGAGATCAGGTACATTCAGGGTGGTATGGATGTAGACTTTACTGAGCTCAGAACAAGTCTAATGCTCAGAGGGAATATTTAAGATTGGTTTTATCTTACTTAAATACAGAGTGTGAGAGGTTCCTACCAATCAAAGATAAAATACACATTGATCTGACAGATTTCCTGCCTTGTTAATGAGAAACAACTATTAAACACAGCATTCAATAATGTAAGCACAAAAAGAAGCATAAGAAACCACAGAAATACTTAGTTAACAATTCCCACTTTTAAACAACATATTCACTAAAAATATTATAATGTATCCTTTAAAAAAGGTGACGTGGGTCACATTTAATGCTACTGCGTAACACAAAGCAGTAAGGACTCAAAGAGAAAAACCGAAGAGGAAAGCGACGGGACGCGGAGAGCTCTAGGCTGAGCGTCACTCACCTCAGGAAAATAAAGACTGTACACAGGATGGGTGATCTTTGATTTGGTTTCTAAAAGAGCTCTCTCCTTCCGCTGTATACTTTGCTGTAATTCTTGCCATTCCTAGGAAAGAAAAAAAATATTTGAAATCTGTTTTTTTTTTTTTTTTTTTTTTTTTTTTTTTTTCATTTCAAGGAGTTAGTATTCCTGAAAATGCAATGAACTTCTTAGGGTTAGAGCAAGTTCCATTCCCACAGCCCTGGTCATCTCCCAGCTCCCACTCACAATGCCTGTAGATCCCAGAGCGTGTGCAGCACCGGCCACGACCTGACTCTGGGCCCTGCTCCTCTCCGTCACTGCTGCCTTCTCTGATTCACTGTTTCAAGACACCCTACACCTCGCTGAAGTGAGTATTTTCCTCCTCCGAGGCCCTATTTGGATTTGTGTCCTTCCCTTTCTCCATCTGGCAGGTTCATACGCATTTCCTTTCAGTACAGCTAGTCTTAAACACGAACCCCGAGGAAGAGCCTACCCCAATGGCCCTGTACCTCAAAGTGACTAACGCCTCCCTTTGTACTGTCAGCGTTCAGTGCACAGACAGTTACTGGCCTTGCAGCACTGCGATGTTTCCTTACCAGTCTGCCTGCCCGGCTAGCCTACCTATTACGCAAGCTCGGCCACTACTTCACAGCTGGTCTGCATTCAGTGTCAGTTAAGAAAACACTTGGGAGGGGACAGATGCGTTTTGCTCATCTCAACAAACCAGACTATTAAACTCTTAAGAAAACCTAAACAAACAAAAGCCATAAGCATCCCCTCTATGAATACTAAAATACTCAGACAGAATCATGCCAGCTCTTTCTCAAAGTGAGGCTGAAGAGCGTCTTTCACAGATTTCTATCCCTGGCAATCACTTCGGTTCTCAAGGTGGAAGAGAGCGCAGTCCGCCCAGTAAACCACACCGTCCGTCACCCTTGCTCTTCACCATCCCAAGGACTGTACCATTCTTCTTCTGCTTTGGGCGTGTGGGATTGAGCTCTTCCTATTTCTGACCTTGCCTTTTTCGCCTCACAAGCTATTCAGGAGGTCTTTTTCTCACAAACCACAGGCTTACTTCCAGATAAAGAGCCCAGTCAAAAAAACACAAACAGATGGTCTAGTTTATGTTTCATCTGCAGTGAGCCTCTAAGGATCATTATTTGCTAATCAAATATATACTTCTTTACAAACTTTCTAAAAATGATATGCAACTTTGTACCATGAGACTTTTCTATACTCTGTACTTTACATACTCCATAAGGTGACATTCCACAATGTTAATTAGTATCAAGATCTATAGCAATGGTTCTCTACTAATCATTTGCTTAAATTTGTAACAGAACCTTGCAACTACTGTTTTTCAACCTACCTTTCCTTTTTCTATCAAATTTCCAGAGAATCCTCAACAAGAAAACTTCCTGAAGAAACCACACTGCTGTCAACTCAGATCCAGTCCTATTTTACCTAGCAATTTAAAAATGTAAGAAAATAAAGATCTCCAAACTGGGTATGGTGGTAGGTACCTGGAATCCCATATTCTGGGAGGCTGAGACAAGGGGATCACAAGTTCAAACCTCATCTGGCAACTCAGTAATTTATCACGATATAAAAATATTTTTAAAGGGAGTATTAGGGATGTAGTTTAGTGTAAAGGTCGGGCTCAATTCCCAGTAACACCCAAAAAACAAACAAATGAACAAGTCCAGAAACAAACATATCAGGATTTTCAATCATTTGAAAAAATTCTTTTCTTTTCAAACTCTGTCATTCTTAAAAAACTAAGTAAGACAAAACAAAGCAAAGCAAAAAGCTGGATGTGGCGGTACACGCGACACTCAAGAGGGGAGGCCAGCCTGGGCGGCACATCGAGTCCAGGCCAACCTGAACCACGTAGTGGGGCTCTCTCAAGAAAACAAAACAAAACCCACAAGTAACAAAATACAAAACGAGCAGCTGTGAAATCAGCAAGCTTGCTTGCACAGACATTTCAGTATTATTGAAGACAAGAAAAGACAAGCAAGCGAAGAAACGAGTAAAGCCCAAAACAGCCAGGCAAAAACTGTAGCGTTCGTGCTCTGGCTGAGGTGGAAGATCACTGAGCCTCGGAGTGCAAGACCAGCAGCAGCGTCGTGAGGACGCATCTGGAACTCCAGAAACACCCAGAGCAACAGAGGTAGGCTTCCAACTATGCAACCGCTGCAACCTCACCGCCTCATCGTCTTTGTTCTGTTTCTCGTCTGGCTCTCTGTCAGACTCTCTGTCACTACCGTCATCCTTTTCGCTCTGGGAATCTCTATTGGTTTCCTCTTCTTCAGAATCGCTGCCTTTGTCAGAAACTTCTTCTTCGTCTTCCTTGACCGCAGCTTCCTACAAAACAGCAACCACAAAAGTTCTGACTACGGCCACGCGTATTTATCACTGGGTCTCTGAAGCTAACATATTGTCAACATAACCAAACTGGTTCACACTTAAAATTTCACTATTGATACAGAATTTTAGGGAATAATAAACATTCTTATTTATGTATAAAGATGTCAGAGAATGAAGGCTTTAGCATTCTGCTTGTCTATTATTCATTCTTCTTAGTTTATAAAATAAAAACATTTATTTATCACAATAGCTACCAGCTTCCAAAGCATCAATTATACACACATTTTACTTAAGGAAAGGAATTGGGTAATGTACAGAAAAGTACTAACTTCAGAAGATTAACATCACTTTCTGAAATTGATGGTTATAATGCAGTAAAGAACTCAATTCCTTGGCAAAATACTTAACTGGTTCATTTCAAGAAACAAAAAAAAGTATAGCAAGTTAAATGCAAAGTAAGAAGTAAATGACAATTATAAGTTCACAAAAATACAAATCAGATATATAAGAGAAACTCAAAACAATCAAAAGTTGTTCTTTGAACTGTAACACTGATAAACCCCTAGGCAAAAATGTAAGAAAAAGGAAATACAAATCACTATATTAGAAATTTAAAAAGACATAATTGGATTTGACAGGTTATTTTTAATATAGGATAGGACTGGGGATATAGCTAAGTGGCACAAGCACCTGCCTGGCAAGTGTAAGGTCATGAGTTCGATCCCCCCAAAAATAAAAAATAGGATATTATAACTATGCCAAATGACCAATGATGAGGAAATAGACAAATTCCCTGAAAAACAAATTTGCTTCACTGACTAAAAAAGAAGACTATATGTTAATGAAACAAACTCCAAAACTTAAAGTCCTTTTAAAAACTCCAGACTACTCTAGAAAATTTTCCAAGTAAGAAACACAATTTTAAACACTTCCAGAAAAGGATGTAACTCCTAGCTTGCTTACTAAAGACTAGCATAAACCTGATACAAAATTGAAGAAAATTATCTACAAAAATTACACTTAGTGAAATAGTTTGCTTCCTAAGATTAAACCCTAACCCTGAAAGTTCCAGCCAGCAGAGAAAGGCCAAAAGGAAGAATATAAATTTTACAAAGAAAAAAGTATCCTAATTCACAAAAAGTATCCTAATAACTGCATGTGCGGAAAGTATTATAGTGAATTACTGTCAATTCACTAAGACTCCATACAAAGTCAAACTGAGGAATCAACTGTTCTTCTATATACCAATAAAAGCCTTGAAGAATATTTTAAAAGAATTTACAATAACAAAAAAGCACCAAATACATGGCAGTAAATATAATGAAAGATGTAACACACTTCTGCCATTGAACACTACTGAGGAAGATTAAGGAACCTCCAAATTAATCAAGATAATTTGAATCGAGATACAGTTCATTCATATAATGATAAATAAGATTCACTATTAATGTGTTAAATTCCCCATACTGAACCACAGCCAATGCAATACCAACATATTCAGCACGCTTTTACTGTAATCCCAAATACTGAATACAGTTATCCAAGTACTGTAACCCCTTTTCCAGTTGTCCTTATATTTGTAATCCCACTGAGACATTAGTAGAATCCCAGCAAGTTAATTCTGAAAGGGTTGCTGGCCCAGACTGGACACTGTAGCCAGAAAACCCTCAGCCGGAATTAGGGAGCTCCCGCCCCTAGAGAGTTACCTGTAACCCTATACCCCCTACCCTTCGAACCTGCCCCTGGCGCCAAACGTGTGCCAATGCAATACCTGTGCATCTCTAATGGCCTTAAGACACTGCCCTAAGCTGAGGCTACTTATATTCCCCCACGCCACGTGTCCACAAGAGAGATCGCCAGATTCCAGCGGCCAGCGCGCCAGTCCTCTCTCCCCATGTTCCCAGAATAAAGGCCTCTTTTGTCTTATACTCCTCAACTTTTGGAAGCATTTTTTATCCTCTGAAAATAATCCTATCACAATGCAATCCACGGTGAGAGTAAAGACCCCAAGACATGTTCCAAGTGAAGGGCAGTTGAGGGGTTCTAAATCCAATCCCCGAGAGGACGTGCGGACAAAGACCCTGATCCAAGGCTTCTCCCAGAATTTATTATCTTGTGAGGAAGGGGGGTGGCTCAGGATGAGTGACAGTGAGGACGGCAGGAATTATGTACTTGAGCTGGCTGGCCAGGTGGGGAGAAAAGCATCCCTGTAAAATGCGGGGATAAGGACCAATTTGCATAATTCAATTAAGGTAGTAACTGAATTGTTTTAGGAGGCTGTTGCTTGGGTTCCTGATCCTTGTAAACTTTTGTGCCCAGGGGAGTCATAGCCTCCTTACCTTGAAGCTCACACTCAATTGACATTCTGGGAGCTGTGCTCATATCTTTCACAAGAGAGCACTAAGCGAGGAAGGATGGCTTTAGAGATTACATACCATACCTGGCTGGCCTTATTTGCAATGCTTAGAGCCAGTTAAAGAGAGGAGGAAATACCACAGCCAGCTTTCTACATATCAGCATAAGGAAATAAGACTTTGAGCTAATCAAAGTTGCAGCAATCGTTCTGCATTCAAGGGGAGTCACAAGTTGTCTCCCACAGTTTTCTGAAAGAAATTACCAATTATTTTACTACTTACACAGAAATGCAAAAGATCTGCAATAGCTAGGACAACTTTGCATTAATAAGAGTCAAAAGACTTCAGGTTACTATGTTCTAAGAATTCACTAATGCTACAATTAAGAGGAGGGTATTGACACAAGAATAAACAACTAGAATGGACTAGAACCTACACACCAACACAGAAACAATATGGCCAGTTACCTGTTGTGGCAACACAAAGTGCCACTGTGACTCAGTGAAGAGGGAGCATCTCAGCGCTAGAATCAGTGGCCCATACTCCATACGTCACACCATTCATGAATAATAATGTATGATGTATCATACTACTAGAATGTAACAAGTAACATAATAATGCTTCTAAAGGAAACAGATAAGTACCTCCATGTACTTGGGTTAGGATGAGCTCTCTTAAGCAAAACACAAAAGCATTAACCATAAAAAAGAAAGATGAAAATGGGCTGCAATAACATTAAGAATCATCAAAAGCTACCATTAATAAGGAGAAAAATTAAAGACTCATATCCAGAATATACAAAGAACTGCAACAAATCCATAAGAAAACAACATAACAGGAAAAAAAAGGATACTAAATAGACAGCAAAGAAATAAAACTCAACATCAACAAGTAATCAGGTAAATGCAAATGAAGCTACACAAAGTGATACTGATACTACTATAGAGCTACCAAATGGAAATATAAAAGCCTACGAAAACCAAGTATTTGTGAACACGCAGAACCACTACACACACTGTACTCCTGTGCACTGTACAATGACACAATTTTGGATAACAGGTTCTTTCAATGAATTAAATAAATCTATCTCAAAACTCAGCAATACACTGCTAGGTGAAAAATGATTGCCATGTACAAGAATAAGTATGCTACCTTTATTCATATTAAGTAACAATCACAAACAGTTCAAATGTCCAATATGCACAGAACAAAATAGTAATTTATGGTATCATGTATTTATGCAGTTAAATACTACATACATATGTGCACACATACACAGAATGGACTACTGCTACCAATAATACAAAAAGATAAAATGTTACGTGGTGGCACAGGCCAGTAATGCCAGCATTCCTGGAAGCTGAAGCAGGAGGATTAAAAGTTCAAGTACTGCTAGGCCAACTTAGCAAAAACTTGTCTCAAAATTAAAAATGATACAAAGGTTAGCAATATAGCTCAGTGCAAAGGTCCTGGGTTCAATCCCCAGTACTCCTGCCCCCAAACGTCATGGACAAAATGTTTAATGATAGCAACCAGGCATAAAATAATTCCATTTATATGATGCAGGCAGAACTAATCTATGGTGCATGTAAACCAAATAATGGGGGACAGAGGGATGAGGAGGTAATAGAGGGGTTACTGACTAAGCATTAGCTTTCTAGCATGCTGGTAGTATTTTTAATCTTGATTTGAATTTATGGGTACATACATATGTAAAATTTCAAGAGCTGTACATGTAAGATTTGAACATTTTAGTGCATGTGTATTATACCTCAATCATGATAATAATGATGATAAAAATTAAACTCACACTCCCAACTACTCCGTTTGCCTGCTTCTGTTTCTGCTGCTTTGACTGCGGTAGTGTCACAGGTGCAGGTTTTTTTTTCGAAGGCTTTTTTTTCTTTGATTTAGCAGCTTTCTTGGGTCCTTTGCTCTTCTGCTGCCATCCTCCCTTTGTCTTGTTCTTGTTAACATCACTCTGCTGTAATTGTAACAACACATTACATTCAGCAAATCACAGTAATAGGTCAGAAGGTTTGTAATTTTTAGGTGGGAATAGCTTAACTAAATATTTTTATAAACTGAATTACTCTCTCACAATAATATAGTCAATCAGACAAGTAAATAAAACATTCGGTTCCCCAGGAAAGATAAGAAAACAAGTTTACCCCATCTTCAGCAGGCTGTTCCTCTGCGGCACAGATGGACTGCTCCTTTTCAAACACTTCCTATGGGTAGCAAAAAGAAAAATCTGTCAAACTGTATCTATTTTTCAAAGGAACAAAAATAGCTTTCAACAAGTGTATTAGTTATGTCAGTTGTTTTGTTAGTTTTTGGCAGTACTGGGAATCGAACTCAGGGCCTTCACACTAAGCCATATCTCAGCCTTTTTAATTCTTTGAGACAGTGTTCTGTAAACTGACATCTTGTAATCCTACTGCTGTAGCCTCCCAGAGTGCTGAGATTTCAGGCATGTGTCTCCACACCCAGTTAGTTAAATTTTTTTAACTGGTTACAACTGAGAGAAGTAAACTTGGCAGATGTGCAAATATGCGGCTGGCTGTCTACTTTCTGAAGTATAGCATAGCTTTCCTGAATACATTCTGAAAAGCACAATCTACTTAAATAACAAATACAATGATTTGAAATATGTAAATTTAAAGTCGAAAATACTTCACTACAACAGAGATGACCTAACTCAAGAGGTCAGCCAACTATGGCAAACCACCACCTTTTAAACAAGTTTAAACAGGAACACAACCATGCCCCATTGTGAGCACAGTAACAAAGACCGTGATGAGCTGTAAGACCTGAAATATTTACTGACTCGGTCTTTCCAGAAAAAGAAAACAGCTGCCACTCCTTTGTCTAATTCTGTCATCACTTCCTCATTACTTCATTTATTACCTGTATTTAATATTTACTCTAAGGTATAGTTCATACAAAAATGGGAGGAAAAGTACTTGACTATTTTACTTAATCCAGCTGGTTCCACATTTTTTTCTTACCAATTACCCCAGAAATGCCAACAGCCCAAGATCAATTCTTCGCTCATTTCTTCTGGCATTCCAGAGTACTTGAGTATTGTAATTTTAGATTTTAAACCAAATTTTTGCACAGGCTTAAAGGTACCTTTCATTTAGTCTGTTACACAAGGTATCCCTTGATATCATAAAATCAATGTTTTTATTTTATATATCTGACCTCAAAGTATGTTTTTTCTACTAATGATTTTAGACATGGAGTTTAAATGCACCATGTACTTTCTGTAGATGGTCAGAGACCCCAGAGCATAATAAAATCTACTACTAGTTGACTAAACCACAGTCTATCAAACCAATGAGTTTCAACTATACGAATTGACTTGGAAGGTAATACAAATAGAAACAGAGAAACAAGACACAGAAAATATACACAATACAATTAGATTTAACAAAAAGAATGAGAGAAGTACCAATGTATAGGTATACTGTACACGTGAACATAGAAAAAGAAAACAATGTACACAGACTGAATTCTGTGGCATCTGAGGCTGCTAAGTTTACTTTGGGGAGATGGATGACAGAAGGGATCTCTAATTTTAAAAAATAAACAATTCTACACATATACTGTACATGCATTAGGATATTTTAAAATGAGTTTTAAAACATCATCTCAAAGCAGTGGAGTATTAAGATGATTTTATCTCTTCCTATACTTTTCTGCATTGCTTCAATTTTTTCCAGATGGCAGGAACTTTTCATACTATCAGAAATAGTTGTTTTCAATGTAAACTTTCAAAGGTTTTAAGCAAAAAATAAAATAAATTATCTAAAGAATAAACTAAAAGAGCTGAGCCTGGTGGCACATGCCTGCAATCCCAGCACTCAGGAGGCTGGGGCAGGAGGATCATGCAAGTGTGAAACCCAGCTGGGCTCTATAGCAAGTTTAAGGCCAGCTGAACTACATAGTGAGACCTTGTTTCAAAAAAGATTTAGTTATAAAGGACTAAGTAACAAAATTCTCAAAAATATGGTGGCACATGCCGATATATGCAGCACTTGGAATTAGACTGAGGCAGGGATCACTGTGAGTTTCAGGCCAGCCTGAACTACACAGTGAGACTCTATCTCAAAAGACAAAACAAGCAAACAAAAACCAGTAATTAAACTGTTACAGACTGCACCTTATAGTTTAAGAACTATACTCACATAACCTATCTATTATTATATTTTAGAGAGAATTAAAAATTTACACCAGGCGAGGTGACTCAGACCTATAATCCCAGCACTCGGGAGGCTGGGGCAGGAGGATCACCTTGAATTCAAGGACAGCCTGGGCTACATAACGAGTTCAAGGCCAGCCTCAACCTCATAGAAACCCTGTATTTAAAAAAAAAAAAAAAATGTTATTACATAAATAATCTATTTTTAGCTGGTTTTGGTGTTTATGAAATCATAAAAATATAAAATTTCAAAACAGATAACAGATCTTATAAAATAAGATTACAATTCGACTTTGAGAAATTACTTCAACTAAGAAAACTATAAAAAGCTTGACATACATTCTCAAAGCATAAAATACAGAGACTACTTACTGCCATTGTTTGTCTTGTCAGTTTGACCAGCACTGTGACTAGGGATCCTACTGTGATGTTATTGCTGTCCTCATCATCCAGTACTGTAAGACGGAAGGGAAAATCAGCAAAGAAACAAAGTTCCATGTCTATGCAAAGAGCAAAATGTAACTTACCAGATCAATCTGTTTAAGCATATATATCACATTTATTAAAAATAAAAAACCATGTTAAACTCTCCAGTTTGGTGTCTTTAGCACTGGAATGACTTAACCCTTAAATTAACCCTGTAAAGAATATCATCATTTCCATTTATGGAAAAAACCAAGGTTCAGAAAGTACGACACCCACTCACAGAATTGTAACTATACTGGCACTGCCAAGATTCAAGCCAAAGTCTGAAAACACGATGCAATATGAGAACTACAACTCTCTTTCAAGCAATATAAAAATGGGGCTCCAGCACTATGTGAAAATATACTCCAAAGATTATACCCGGCTGGTCACTGCCTGAGACAAAAAAAATGATGAACACTAATACTGTAAAACGTCACCTTCAAGAGAATTTGTAAAAGAACTTAAACTTTACATTAAGTTACATCGTCTTTACACTAAGTACTCTGAAAACATTTTTGCAATATTAAGTGCAATGAATTTTACAGCTTTTTAATTTATTAAAACCACATTTACATCCCTGTAGGTTTATTAAAAAACTATAACATTAAATAAACTTTATTAGATATGTTTTTTTCAGATAATATTAATGTTCTCTACTATATATTTTTGTCTAAAGTTTTTTTAAGTCTGGTATGCCTGTTTTACACAGATTTTTATCAGCATACTATGTTCTAGTTTCTAAGAAACATTCAAAATAGGAAAACAATGGTCTCTAAAACAACCTACAGTTGCCAACTCCACTAGCGGCTGCAATGGGTAAAGCAACTGGATGTCAGAAATTAGGATAGAACCTTTCATACCAGAAGTCTTCATTATCAGAAAATAAAACCTGGGCCACATATCCATCTATGTTTTTCTTTTTACCCAGTTATACATGCATGAATAGTGCATGTAAAATAACTGTTGTATACATGTCTACATGCCATTTGATGGTTTAAAATGAAAAGGCCCATCATGAGATTCTACAGTCTCCAGTTTAAAGGCAGGGAGAGATCCATCATCTCCGCCATAGTAGTGGGCAGTGTCTGTTCCCTGCTTCTATGAGCCTTCTATTTACCCTTCAAACTATATCACATATATTACATACATGTATAGTTAGAGCTAGCATTATAAAAATATAAACTATGCAAGATGTTATGGAACAGAACACATGATAATGTTTCTCAATGAAACTGAACATTTACTTTCACATAAAATCAAGAAAAAATCTTCTAACATTCATTTTTCTACAAAGTATGGACTTTCTGCAATCATGTCAAAGATTATCGGAGTCTCAAAGTAGATTTTCATTTGAATGGTTCAATTAGTATAGTTTTTATGCAGCTTTCATATTGTTATTTTTAAACTCTGGAAACTCATGGCCCCAAAAGAAAATCCCAAATTCCTGCCAAAGTGGTCCAAGATTTTGACGGGTTTTTACTATCTATACTATTCTAGGAAACAGATATATCAGGTTGCAGTTTGCTTTTCCATCTGAAACACCCATTCTAAGTAGTCATTTATCTCTTCGCAGGTCTTAGTAGGATATGGACCAGCAAGGGGGGGAAAGTCTTACTGCTGTTTCTTTAGCACCCAGTAGAGTACACGATACTCAGCACTTGCTGCATGGAAACGGCACAGGGTCCGTTATCACTCACTTAACACTCAGCGTATGTTCTCGCTTTTTAGTCCTGTTTCCTCAGCTAGATGATGAAAGCTTTAAAGACAGAGCTCACTGCTAACACATTCCTGTATTCTGGGTGCTTTACAAGAATGTTCTCACTGCAGCTAAAGCTCAGAACAATACCACAAATACATAATGAATGAGCAGACCGTCTGTCAGTGCCCTAAGAGACCATGTAGCCATTAAAATGGGCACACAGAAGTTACGTAAATAGAAACAATCTGGAGTTTTAAAATTTGAAATGGACATAAAGATACAGGTAACATGAGAAAAACACAAGAAATAAGGTAGAACACATGGTAATTTAAGGCTTAATACAAAGACTAGGGCTTTTAAAACTCAGTACTAAGCAGCTCCTTCTTTTAATACCCTTCAAATATTTCCTATCCTTTCATTACACTGCAGTCTCTTCCATTCTTTGCAAAGTTAAATTCTGAATGCTGGGCAACCAAAAAAACTCCTTGGAGTTAATCCCACTGTGACAGAAATAAAAGTAAAGCTATATTAGTTTCCTCAAAAAGAGTAAGTATATGTTTCTCATTTTCTATTGCAGTAAATCTGACAAGAAAACTATAGTTTTACAAAGTCTACTTTAAATTATGTTATTAAGCAGTGTTCCGAGAATCTTGAGTCAAGTAAGTGAGAACCACCTATTTAAAGGGAGCCACGCGCAGTGAGGAACCCCCCACTTACCCTGTGACTTTATATCCATGGTTACATACGGAAAACTCCCAAGAACGGCCATAACCTCTTCATATTTTTCATCTTCAAGGAAGTGTAGAAGACTGTGACGATCTGGTTCTTTCAAACTCACCAAATCTTGTATAGTTTTAATTTTGTACTGAATAAGGAAAGAAAGAGGTCCTCAAATTCATAAAGCTTTTCATAAAAAAATTATTAGTATGCTGACCAAAAGTTCAGCAACTTTTAGAAAAATGTTAAGACTAAGATTTCTAGAAAAATGTTAAGACAATTTATTTTCAACTTTGATATTAAGAACCTTCAATTATCCTCCCAAACACGACTGTACCATCAAGGATTTACTATATAATACTCTCACTTTTTTGCATTTTCTAAATATAACTGTTACTAGGCCTTGTCTAAATGTTCTGTTGTGGGAATGTCCTTTAATTTTCACGTATGTGGTACTGGATACCAATTTTTACTTTCACAGAGATTATCCCATGAAATAGATGAAGTTCCTGGCTTTGAATCCGAGGTTATGACCTAACACATGACCAAACTGATAAAGGCAATAAACCGTCACTCAGTGTTTAAGTCAAGAATGCAATGACTTGAAAAATACACAATGCATCTTTACTTGGTGCATTTATTTTTGGTAAAAGAAGTAGCAAAGGGTTAACTGTTAAAATGCCCTTACAGTAACCTTACAGTAACCTTATAAAACCAACACCCAATTAAGAAAATGTTAATAGAACCACTTGCGAGTGAGTTTTAGAACGCTTACAACAGTCTAACCCTAAGAAATTTAGAGTACCCATTTTTATTCACACTACTGTTGAGTGACACAAACTACTAACACCCGATTTTCACAAAAGAAAGAATTACCTTTTTATGATTAGAAACTCTTCTAAGATTGTCCTCTTCGATGTGTGGGAGCTGCAGAAGGGGAGATTTAAACTGCTGAAGGCCTTGGACAGCCATCTGGGAAAGCTTCATGCAGTTTTCTAAGGAAGCCAAAGTTGGAGCACGAAACTCCCTTTCTTAGAAAGAATAGGAAAAAAGAAACAGGGATGGACTTTTTACATGTTCAAGAGCAAACAATTCATCATTAAAATTATCTGTAGAAATATATTGTCTCAAATTTTAAGATTATGGTGTTTATTTTCCTTTAAAAGTTCCTAGAAAAGTTAGCCGCACTTGTTGGCGCATGCCTGGAATCCTAGCAATTAGGAGGCCGAAGCAGGAAGATTGCTGCAAATTCGAGACAAGCCTGGGCTACAAAGTGAGCTCAAGCCAGCCTGAACAGCATAGCAAAACCCTGTCTCAAAAAGAGAGAAAGAAAAAGTTACTAGCAAATCCGTATTAAAATATGAAAAACTGGTTACAGGAATATTACCAGCAACAATAATTTTAAAATTCTCTGCAACAGTTCCAGTAGCAGTAAATTGCCAGACATCATCAGTATTATGAATATACTGACTCTAGGCCAAGAACTAACGTCACCATAGTGACTGACAACCACTGTTGCCTTTTCTAAGGTTCTCCCTTTACCCCACTGATCCAAAATTTCAATGCTTTTCCTCTCATGCAAAAAAAATTACACATTAAGTGAATCATCAATATAGCAAACAATTATTTCAAACTCACTATTACAGAATAAACTCCAACATATCCAGAGGAAAAAAATGTTAAATCTTTGCAAAGCTCACAATAAAACAATGAAATAATGAGAAAAATCGTGAGCAATAATTGGGAAAGCTAATTAAACTAGTACACAAAATTATAACAAATACCAAAGATCTTAAAAGTATCAAGTATAACCTGCATATGCTTGCAAGAAGAAAAACATGGTTAACTACATTTCCTCCTCACCTTCACGGCTCCGGGCCATTATTATGAGTTGGCATATTACATTAACCATTTCTTGAAGAAGGGCAGGGCATTTTTTCAACATAAATTGCTGATCTGCAAAACAACCAAAAACCTGAAGCAAATCATTCTAATGTTATAGTTAAAACAATCCAAGAGTAAGAATAAATTTAAATTGTCCCACAAATGACCTTAGAATTATACAGATTGAGCTAAGCGTGGCTCACACATGTAATCCCAGCACTCGGGAGGCTGAGGCAGGAGGATCATTGTGAGTTTGAGGAAGCAGCCTGAGCTACAAAGTGAGCTCAAGGTCAGCCTGAACTGCATAGCAAGACCCTGTCTCAAAAAAGACAAAAATAACAACAACAACAACAAAAAAAAAAACCAGTCATGGGGTGTCTCCAAAAAAACATTTTTTAAACGAATTATACAGATTGAAGGGAAAAACTTCTCCTTCAGTTCACTATCAAAAAATCTGTCAGAAAACCCTTCATGTTAAATGCCACCAAAGGCAAAATTTTAATATTATTAAATAAGTTTCATAAGTCAATTCTCTTTTTCTTTAAAAGTATTAACTATAAATTTAATCATATTTTTGCAATTTTTTAGACATTTTCAAATTTTCATTTAAGTTTCTTTCTTTTTTTTTTTTGTCATTGTGAGACAGGTCTCTATGCAGTTCAGGCTGGCCTTGAACTCACTTTGTAGCCCAGGCTGGTCAGGAACTTGCAATGATCCTCCTGCCTCAGCCTCCCGAGTGCTGGCATTACAGAAGTGAGCCACCACAACTGGATTTTTAAATTTCTACAATTACAGCAAGTTCCAAGACTAAGACTGAGAACACATGTTAGCACAGAGAGATGAGAAAAGGCAGAGAAGGACACACTCTGCAGACAAATGAACTACTAGGGTCCACACTGGGTCCGGCTGAATGTAAGGTGGGTTTCCTATTTCTAAAAGACGACTGCTTTAAAAATAAAAATGGTTATATATCTGTTCAGAACATTAGTAAAACAATGACTAATTAGTATTTCAAAGTAATTCCAGTGACAATGCTTAAAATAGCATCCCTTCATAAGCATTCTGTCACTAACTAATGAGCACCAAGTGGCCTTGTTTTCAGAAGCATTTGACTGCTTTCTTAGGTTAAGGAGAAGAAGAGATAAGACTCCATTCAAAAAGAGTATTTTTTCCTAAGATGACTTTCTTTTAAAACCTCAAGTGAAATAATACAGGTAAGGAAGAGACAACACTCAAACCAATGGCCTTGGAAACACTCTGGTCCGAATCCACAGCTTCTGTTTTAAACAGAATAGACGGCTTCCAGCTTTAAATGAAGATCAGATACTTACCGGTAACTGTATAGGGGGATGGAGCAAACTGTGGGGAGACTGGAGTTTAGTGGAGATACCACTGTGAAAATCATTTTGTCTCTCTAAAAAAGCTTACAAAGTTCTTTTTTAAAAGCCATTAGGAGTTTTTTTTTATATAATCTTAAATTAACTAAAGATTTCTCATACAGAATACTCTTACTTGAATGCTTTTAACATTTGCCAAGACATTACAAACCCTGAAAATATTTATGAAGTAATTATACAGCATATAGATTTTTAATAAAAGGTCCTTCAGCAATTATTTGAGGAGAAAAAAGCCATCAAAAACACTGCACTGTGAGGTTTAATTAAATATGTTGCTTTGGTCCCATTAAACCCTGTATATACTAGAATCAGACATACCTTCTTCAAGGGTCTCAGGAATTTTCATTCTAGCAAGATGAGACAGTAACAGAACTCTGGCCTTCAAGCTATATGGGCAGGTAAGTGGAGGTTCATTCTTCTTTAAATTAATGCTGCCAATTTCTCTGATCAACTAGAGCATATAAAATAATTATTCAAAATATACACATAAAAAGCATTCATTTTAGTAATAAGAAATTTAGGAGACTGGCCTAACCTGTGGTATTAGAATATTATCTGTTGGTCTGCTTGTGGCATCTTTATTATACTGAGGATCAAATTCAGAAGCTCCAGCCAAAACCATAATGAGACCTACAGAAACAAAAATCCAAGACGACAGATAAATAAATGTGGCCATTTCTCTTCCTGAAGTACTATACCTCCTTATCTCAAGGCACAAGGGAGACTGTGTGGGCTCCAACCAACAAGGCCATAGGGTGGACCCCCAAGCCCTGTGGGTACTCATGTGCCACCACGTTTCCATGCTGGATATACAGCTATGGGGCTTAACTGTTTGCCTTGCTGGCTTTGGTCTCGCTTTGGTGCTAGTCTACCTCCTTATTTATCTCTTTTGAATTGGGTATGTCTACACTGGGCATTGTACCTTGGGATTACATAATTTGTTTTTGATTTTTTTTCATTTTTATCGGTACCAGGGATCGAACTCACGACTGCCTGCTTGCAAGGTAGGCACTTATGCCGCTGAGCTAAATCCCCAGACCCCTGTTTTTGATTTTTATAGATGTTCTTCAGTTAAGAGCTTGCCTTGAGTCTCAGAAGAGATTTTCCCTTGCACTCTGAATAATGGAACTATTTAGCTTTGGGAGAAGAGATTATTACATTTTCATTTGCATGCAAGATTTTACTATGATTACTGGGTTAAGTATATTTAAGGAGATATTATAATGAGTGTTAAGCTGACAACACTGAAATGTGACACTTGACAACTGCATGGGTTAGGATTGCCATGGATGAGTCCTGGCCGCTCTGGCACCGTTTCCAGCTGTGCTTCCCAGTCATTAAAAACTAAGTATCTATGTCTTCTGCCACGATGTTTCTGCCTTGGAGCCAGCTAACCATGGATTGAATCCCCTGAAACCATGGACCAAATTAAGCCTCTCTTTTTTTCAGTTGTAGATGACAGATCCTATGCATAAACAACGAGAAGCTAAGTAACAAGTACTTTTCTTATTACTAAAAAACTCATTAAAACTGGCAAATCTCAAGCACTTGCCTGCAAGCGCAAGGTTGTGAGTTCGATCCCCAGTACAAAAAAAAAAAAAAAAAAAAACCCAAAACTGGCAAAGCACAAGTACAACCATGCCCGTTTCAGAAAACACACAAACACACACACACACTCACTCACAAAACCTACATTGTCCAGTGAAAGAATTTTAAATTTAGGTTTTTCATTTCTTTAAGAAAAAAAAAGGAAGGAAAGAGGAGATTCTGATTCAACACAGCAGTCATTTTGAGAGACAAATACACTCTGGGATGAACTGTACAAAGCTGACTGGTTAGGATCAGAGGAAGTATTTATAAGTATTTAGAAAAGTGTAAATAAGAACCTGGGAACAGAATATCCTCACAGTTTTCTTTCAACACACCCAAGACTTCTGTTCATACAACATGAATACACCAGAATTACACCCGTGGCTCACGGATTGGGAAACAGACTGCCTGGCTTCCAACCTGGCTCTGGCACTTACTGTGCTGCCTTAGACACGTTCACTTTCCTACCCTTAGTTTAACCGCATCATGTGGTTAAAAGCAGCATTTACTTATGGAAGCAACTGTAAGCCTTAAACAAGATAACACACAACAGTTCTTAGCAATACTTGGATACAATAAATAACAAAGGTTGCCTAGTATTATAAAATTTGCAATAAAATTTCAAGTAGTCTACATAACTGAGTAAATAGGAATACTGTAAATATAAATCAAGAAATATATTAGCATTTTCCTCCATTATTAGTTACAGGAACTGATTGGCTGTGAAACTGTAACATAGGATTTCTCCAGCACAGTTAGGAAATATATTTCAACTCTACATAAAATAATGAAACTAAGAACACATTTCTTAAATATACTTACGTTTCATATCCATATTTCGGGTTTTATAAACAAAGTATGTATAAATCTGTGTTGTACGTATTAAAATCTGATCTCCACTGTAGCGTATCGAGCGATACCACCAAGAACCCTAAAACACAAATAAGATTAAGCAAGAAATAAAACATGAAAACAATAATTGATGCAAAATGTTTATGGGCATATTTTCTAAATATTCATAAACTAGTAAAAACATCTGAGTATTATTTATAGTACTTTTTTGTTATATATTTCAAATTGTTTAACAAATATATATTGCCTGAAGTTTAAATACCAAGCTGCATTATTTCATATATATGATTAAAGAACTTAGGTTTTAGGTAGAAATCGATTAAACATAAAACAGGAATAAGAACACCCACTGCTAGGAACAATCTGGTTCCTAACAAACACATTTTTATTTTGTTTTGCTGTTGTTTTTGATGGTCTAGGATTGAATTCAGGATGTGTGCAGTAAGCTACATTTCCGTCTCTTATTTTTTTATGCTGAAGACAGTTTTATTAAGTTGCCTAGGCTGGGCTTAAATTTACTCTCCTCCTGCCTCACCCTCCTGAGCACCTGGGATTTCAGGCATGTAGCACTGTGCCCAACTCACGTATCTTTAATAAAAAAATTTTCAGCCCTTTTTTTGAGACAGGGTCTCACTATGCAGTTGAAACTGGGCTTGTAGCTCAGGCTGGTCTTGAACTTGCTATAATCCTCCTGCCTCAGCCTCCAGAGTGCTGGGATTATAGGTGTGTGTCATCACACCCAGCTTTAATAAACTTCTGATAAATAAATGTGGGAGCAACTTTACAACTGATGTAATACTTTCATTCACATTAACTCATAAGATTGTATCTCAAATAACACTCATATGAAGAAGACAACACAGGTTAATTACTAGCTTCACATTTTGGGATCCAGATAAATTCCAGAGTTAAAAAGCACACAATTCACAAAAATAGTAAGTGACAAAGATCATAAACTTTGTATTTCTATATTATGATACCATGTAACACATTAGTTTTTTAAAAATCGTATTTATGTTTATGTGTGTAAATGCACAGAAAGATTTGAAAGAAACTATTTAGCAATGATTACCTCTGAAAGAAATGAAGGAGATAAAAAACAATTTCATTTAAAGTTTTAAGCTTATCCATATTATCTCAGTTATATACAACTTTTGGAATAGAAAGATGCTTTTGCATACTTTAGTATCACCTTAAGAAGATCTCTAATGTATAGCTAAGTATAAGATTTTTAAATTCAAGGATTAATAAGTTACACTATAATACAAATTAAAACCTTACAGGGAGATTTCAAATATGTCTTGAAAAAAATTTGACAGAAAGAGCTCAGACTTACCACAACAACTGGCAGGATCACCATGAATGCCAATCCATATACAAGTAAAACCTAGAATTGAAGAGGAAAAAAAAGGGTAGCCTTCATCAGGCAAATTATAACAATAGTCATGAACATGTATTTTAAAGACTACAATTAGGAAGCACTAATAAAAGCACTCCTTGTGTATAATCTTCTTTAATTCTTATTATCAAACTGAGGAAGGTACTACTATGCCTTCTCTTTCTAGATATATCACCGGTAGTAAAATAAGTTACACAGCTACTGGTGGAGCTAGGATTTGACCTCTAAAACCCACACATGATTATCTATTATAAATTACCTATTAATATGCTATTTACTGATATAGATACTAGCAAAACAATTTTATATTTCCCTTCCTGTGAGTACTTCATCAACATATACCTTAGTTAGTGTCCCAGAAATAAATTATGTAAGAAACCCTAAGGCAAACTGATTCCTGTGTGTCAAGGCACCACTTCCTAATTTGCTGTTTGCTATTAGTTTCTATTGATTGTATTCCTACTGCTTGATCCTAAATCTGGCAGCTATGCCTGTCTCTATTATTCTCAGAGTACTCTAAGCAACATGAACACACTTGTAACAAGCAACACTACACTCCTAAAGATGGCCGATTTTAATATGCCATAAAATAGTCATTTTCATAACAAATTACAGGCTGTGTGGACTATTTCTATTGCTTCAAATACAGCTCTAAGATAATAATGTCAAGAAAGTTCTCGTAGGGAATCATGCATTCCTGAACAACAGGTTAAGATAATGTCTGATGCTTTAGGATTGCACCATTACTGACCTACATCGCATGTCCTACTGCCTTACATGTTTTATATGGTACTTCCAGAAGTGCTGTAGGGGCAGAGCCATCCAGGCCTTCTGGAGTTCACAGACTGCCTCAGATCCTGCACATGGAACTACAGAAGTTCATGTACCATTTAAAATATGTAACATTTAATACACATTAAATTAGTTTAAATTAGTTTAGTCTAAGTAAAGGTGAGAGAAAGAACAAGATAAAGCTTGAGTAGTGCTTAGGAGAAATGTGGCTATCATAAAAACCAGCAGTTTCCCAAATCAAAAGTAAGACTCAATATGAAAATAATTTTAACAACAATAATTTAACAACATTAAATTAACAACAATAATTTTAACAACTACTGTATCTTTAAAGTTTTAAAACTACACGCAGAACTCCTTGTCCCAAATCAGTGGCCTAATACTGGTAACCAATGTATCTGGCCACTATGTGAAACCAGCTTTCACAATACCAAGTTAAGAAGGGTGCTCCCTCTGGCAGCACGGATACAAAGTTAAAAACAGTGTAACAGTATATTCCTCCTTACAGTTCTCATTATATTACACCAAAACACATAGTACATTACAAAAACTATGGCAAACACATTACAATGTATGTTACTTAAATGTACTCACCAAAATTGAATTTTTCTGGTCAACTATCCATGCTGGCAGGGCAATTCCAAAACTTGTAGCTGAAACAAGAAGAGTATCATATCATTATGCAAATGCTAACCATTATTTTATGTATGACAATTCAAATTTTGAGAAAAAATTAGTTCTTGAAATTTTTCTTCCTAAAACAAATTCTCTTGTATGTCCTAAGTTTAGAAAATGTGTAAAATCAGTGTCTTGAGTACTTTTCTTCTGCTGCTAAGACAAAATACCTAATACATAAAGTTAAAGGAGGAAAAGTATATTTCGCTCACAGTATGTAAATTTCAGTTCATAATCAGCTGGCTCCAATGCAGAATGGCACGTGGTGGAGAGGCAACCATTCATGGTGGCAGAAGATGGCAAAAGCAACCAGGGGACAGAGATAACAAGCCTCCTTCTGTCCCTTACTTTATATTCAGGCTACCTGCTCACAGGTCAGGTATAGCACTCACATCCTTATTCCCAGCAGTGGACCATGAATCCATCACAAACTCTTGCCCTAACCACTTCTGAAAAGCCCACCCCAGAACTGCATGAGACTTTGACGGGACACAAATCATAACATTCTACCCCTGGCCCCCCAAAAAACTCATGCACTTCCCTTTATGCAAAGGCATTTATTTATTTTTTCCATCTCTAAGAGTTTCAAAGTCCTAACAGTTCAGCATTGCTGAAAAGTCCAAGTGCAAACTCTTTAGCTATGAGTCCTGCATAAATAAAAAGAAAGTCAAATACTTCGAACATTCAATGGCATAAGATACACATTTCCATTCCAAAAGGTACAAAATCAGGGATACAACAGAATGAGACCAAACCAAGTCCAAAATCCAGCAGGGCAAACATAAAGTTCTGAAGTTCCATATGCAGGATCTGAAGCAATCTGTAAGCTCCAAAAGACTTGGGTGGCTCTGCCCCTACAGCACTTTTGGACATTCTTATAGCTTCTCTCTTGGGTCTGCTCTGCTCCCTCTTTGCAATTTTCCTCAGAAGATACACACTCCTGGCTTTTTCAAACTTCTGGGGTCTCTATGGCAACTCTGACTTCACACACTGTCCCTTCAGGGCCACAGTGGCATTCAAGGCCTTCTGAAACCTGAGTGGGCGCCTTCCTGATCCCACAGCTCTTTCATCTTTCATGTACCTAAAACCAGCACCACATGGATGATGCCAAGATCTGCTGCCAGGTGGGCAGTAGCCTGGCTTTCCTCTGTTGGCTGCAGGGGTCTAGTGCCTGGAACACTGAGTACTCTGAATCCAATTCTGAGGAATGAATTCTCTAGGCTGCCACTGGAACATGGTACTGTTGGACTCTCTTCTTAAAGTCTTTCAATTTTGCAATTTTGATGCTACAAAAGGTGGTGTCCTGCTGCTTCTTGTGATACCCTTAGGCTACCTTCTCTATTCTCCTGTTCTTTCTCGGCAATCAAGATCTCGTCTGCTCTGTCTTGGCAGTCCACATCTTTACTGCAGCTTCCTTTCTGTCCAAGCTCACATTTTAAATCACCTTGTGGGGCTCTTTGCTCTTTATTTTCAACATACATCTGGCTAAAAGCTCCCAACAGTAGTCATATTATCACCTCAACATTCAACTGTCTCAAAATTTCTTCTACAAGATTAGTCCATCGCCCTTAAACTCAGTCTCAGGCAAAGTTTGTGGACACGAGCAAAATACAGACAAACTTTCTGCCAAGCCACAGCACATACTTTCTGGAGTCCAACAGCCAGTGCAGTCCTTCCCAGCAGAAATCTTCCAAGCCTGGTCTTTATGGAAAAGACTTCTATCAGACTTCCGGTCTTCTAAGCTTTGACCAGAATCTCCCATACAGTTCAGCTTAAGAGGTATTCCAGCTCTGGTTTTTCAGACAGCATCTCCAAATCATTCCAAAACTTCCCCAAAAGCCACTCCCAAAGGCTCCTGAACCACATGGTCAAATATAGTCACAAATTTCACTTCTGCTACCAAATTCTGTCTTGGTTACTTTTGTCTTGTTGCTGAGCCAAAATGTCTGACACCCACAGTTAAGACAGGAAAGATTTATTTAGTTCAGTCTGTAGAGGTTTCAGTTCATAATGGGATGGCTCCAAGGCAGAGTGGTACATGGCAGAGGGGACACAGATCATGGCAGCAGAAAACAGCAGAAGCAACAAGGAAGAGACTCTTTCCGTCCCTTGTATTATACGCAGGCTGCCTGAACCAGGCCAAGTGCAGCATTCAACCCTTAATCCCAATATTGGACCATGAATTACCACAAATTCTAGATTTGGTCACCCCTGAAAAGCCTGCCACCCCTGACTTCATGAGGCTTTGGGGTGACATCTAGACACAAACCGTTAACAGTAAAAAACAAAACGTATTTTTAATGTAACTTTATCTACTGAAATGATTAATGACAGTGACTACTCTTCTCTCCAAACCATGTCTCAAAAGTCTTTAGAAAAAGAATGAAGTATAAATCTAAATAATCTCAATTTATGTTTAACTCTTTGTGACTATAATTTTTCTACTCATAAGATTAAAATACTTTTAATCTTTTAATATAGCTAACATTTTCATGATATATACTGTAAGACCAATATTTTACACTCATTATTTACCTTGAGGTCCATCTGGATTTCCAAATTCTTCCCAATTTTTCCGAGACTCTTCATCTGTTAAACTAGCATAAAAAGAACAAAGTTGCAGAATCAAAGGGCTGCATCTGCAACATATGTACATACCAACTTACTTCTTAGAAGATACTAATTTAGAGAATGAAGAAAAGTTTGAAAACAGAAGAGAGGTGGGAGTAGGGAGCAGGAAATGCTGTGCCAACAGAAAATGCTAAATGCTGAGCCTTGATACAAAGTCCTTGTTGACCAGAAGTTCTCAAGTGAAGCGAGGTGAAGAGGGATGAAATTTAAAGGCCGTGACATTTTCTGAGAAGGCAAAGAGGGTTACTCATAATTTTTTCCCTTTCCATTTTCATGCATTTTCCAAAATTTATTCAGAGAGTATATTTACATTTTAACGATAACTGACCACATATGTTTAAAGTATGAAGAACGCATAATGTAGCTCTCTCCACAACACTGGTACCACATTCTCAAAGAAACGAATGCACAGCACTTGTAAAACTTCATTGCTGTGGAAAGGTCAATAGCATTATAAGATCAGAATTTTCTCCTAAGCCAACCACCAGTTATACTCCTAAACAACAGCTTCCTAGCCAAGGCAAAATGAAAGCAATACAGTGATTTTTAAATGACTAAATACAATGGCTAAGACAGAGTCAAATGGTTTCATTCCAGATTCCCAGTGTAGATATTAAAAGGCACTTAGAGAAATAATCCCTTCAAAAACCTTACAAAGTGATTAAGAAAAAACACGACCAAACCACAAAAACTGACCAGTAATAAGGAGTCATTCCTATAGAATTGGCAAAGATTTTGTATATGTAAAAACATAATTTTCACATTTCTATCTCCCAGAACTTAAGAGGCAACACAATCCCTCTTCAACATAGATCTAAGTTGAGAGACACAATGAAGAAATATTATCATAAGACAACAAAAAGTATACTTACATCTTTTCAGTGATTTGAGAAAATTTTTAAACATCAAATTGGTCATTCATTAAATGAGTTCCTTGACATTTTTAGTCTTTATTTAACTATAATTCCCCTATTATTTGATGCAGGATCACAATAAAATATAGGAGCCACTGAAAAGCATTTGGTTCCAAGATAATAGTAGTGCTAAGGTACCTTTTCAGCTTAGAGAAGAATATTTCTCAAAATACTTGTTTTGCTTTTCTTGTCAAACCCAGAGATTTAGCTATTTCTCTCCACATTCTGTCTCTCAATCAGACTTTTCTCGCCAAAATAATTCTGTTTTCTTCTGCCTTCCTGATAGTAACAATGAACTAGTTCTCTATACAACACCCTCAGGTTGTGCAAAATAAAGCACAGTGCACATCACAGAAACACTTCTGATTTGCAACCTACATTTGCATATACACCTGTTTATAATGACATTAACTCCAACTGCCACATGACAGGGACCATGTGAATACAAATTCAAGAAATCAGTAACTTTTTTAAAAGTAAATTTAAGAAAGCAAATGACTTTTTGCCTTTTTGGAGTCCTTCACTACCATTCCTAAGAATTAATGTGACTTCCCACCATCTAACCACACCCCTTAATGGTGTGCTCTTACGTCCTGCCTGATGCTCTCAAGAGCATCAACAACACGGAGGAGAGAAACAAATGCCAGGTTATCAGGCCACGCTCCAACTCACAATCCCGTTTCTAACCCATGATGAAGGATGAAAACCCTGGTGAATTTTTACATCACTGATGATCACAGAGCTGGAAAAGCTATGGTGAGCCTCACAATCAAGTTAAACAAGTGTGAAACTACCACTCCTAGATTCGATGTATAACTTAAAGATCTAGAAAAAGCAAAATAATCTGCTCCCATTTTGTCAGTGTGGTTTCACTGCACAATTTCACCTAGCATCATATAACATGAAGAGGCAAAATTAAGAAACACAGGGAGGGAAACCTTGGGGATTCTTTTTCTAGAAGTGTAATGCATACAAATAATAAAATGCTTCAAAAAGTGAAATGTAAAAAATAGTATTTAAACTGTGTAGAAGCTATGTGACTTCAGTATAACACAGCAAACTTCAGACCAGTGATATGATTATAATTTTCAAAAATGCAGTGAATAGAGTTTCCTAAGCATGACTGTATATCTTGACTTTTGGGGGAGAGGAAAGGATATAAATCCTATAAAGAATCTAATAAAATCTATGCCCCCAACCCTTTTTCGTTTTTTCTTTTAGATATGGTCTTGCTGTTTAGTCCAGGCTAGCCTCAAACTCACAGCAATCCTCCTGCCTCAGCTTCCCAAGTGCTGGGATTATAGACATGTAGCACCATGCCCAGCCCACCTATGCTCCCTTGACACTGGGAAAAAATGCATATTAGAAATATAATGAATTTTATATACATTAATCTAAATGCTGATATAGAGAATGGTTTCATTAAATTTTAAGATCAACCCAGAGTTAGCTACATAAAATTGGGTTATGCATTCATGTACAGGAGCACATGGAAATACATGCTTTTTAAAAAATAAAAATATCTTCAAAGTCATACCTACGCTGCCCATTTACCCCACAGCACCATATAGACAGATCTGACACATGAAAGCCCAATCTTGACTGTGTTCAGGAGAATGAAATGAACAATGCAACAATCTAATACCTTGGAAATAAATAATCCAACTGAAAAAACAGGAACAGCCCACCTAATTTATGGTCTTATAATGGGCAAATAAAGGAAGATAAAAATATTCCAAATAATCAAAGCAAATCCTAAAAATATTTTTGCAGATCAAGGACTATGTAACTGCATTGCAGAGGTTGTTTGAGTTAAGCTGGAACTACTACAGGACAGGAAGTTTAAATACATTACTCAGAACTTGTATTTACTAAAATATATACCTTTGCCTAATTTAGTTGGACTTGTACAAATCATAAGAGCACTCTAAGTTTTGGGTCCAACAATCATTTGGGATGAAAAACTGACAACTATTTATGATATTTTACATATAAAATATTCTATAACTTTATCATAAAACTAAGCTTGAAACTAAAAGCATTATTCTTCTGCACTTTTTAGGGAAGTTACCATACATAATGAAAAGAACCAGCAAAAAAAGCATGAATTTGTTACAGAAGTCCGGGAACAGAGGGACAAAAGCATAAGAATTAAGCTACAAATTAAATAATCTTGCCTATCTGATTTCATTCGGGAATCTTAAATTCCCTGAAGAAGCAATTAAGGCACAGCAATATTTATGCAAAGAGAGCAAATGCTTGAAGGAGACACACTGAGAGAGAAGAGAGGCATCAACTGAAAAACAGCAACGTGAAGGTCATCAGCTGCGCAGAAAATGCACCCACTTTACAAGTTCCTGGACAGCACTGCTTTACTATAAATCATAGTTTTCATATATGTCACCGGCAATCCACAGAAAATGCAGGCAACAGGTGCACTAAGCATGAAAACGCACAGGACACTCCCCAGTTTCTGTCATTCGCATGCCACGTTCGGTTTGCTAGAGTGTATGTGAGTCTACTGTTTATGTCTATTCTTTAAATTAGTTTGCAAAATTATACATCCCTGAGTGCTCCCTGGAACACAACAGAACAGCTCTGTGGTGAACTGGGATGATGCACCCAGCAGGAGCCCTCAGGGTTCCTGCTCTTTTATCTTTTGTAACATTAACACGCAGAGTACTTCTAATTTTATATACTCCATCTTCTCACACAAAAATGTTCCTCAAAGTTTATAAATGCACAAATGTACACATGCCATGCACTGAAACTAGTATTTTTATAATAACATACCTCACTTAACTGCATTGAATCCAATAAGGAAAACATTATGTGCATGTTCTGAAAAGATTCTTCAGTTTCTAACCAATAAAAAAGGAGAATTTAAAAATCCATACCTCAACTAGTACAATATTTGACAACAGACTAGAAATTTATCACAATGAAATTCCAGAAAGTATCTAAAAAGAAAGTAACAATTAAATTTGCCGCTAAATAGTTCAAATGAGACAAGTGCATTGTGAAAACAAGAGAAACAGATCCAGTTTAATAAAAAGCCTCAAAATGATAACAAAGTACGCATCTACCATCTTCTATTCAGAATGCTTAGAAAATAGCTCAGTTGGGGCTGCAGATTTAGCTCAGCGGGATAAGCGCCTGCCTGGCAAACGCGCAATCGTGAGTTTGATTCCCGGTACCAAAAAAAAAAAAAAGCTCAATTAACATGTCATCATTTACTATTTAATTAAACTAACATCACATGGCAAAATCATTACGCTAAGCGCCAACTCTGAATTCCTTAAAAGTTAAGGTTTAAGTACAATTTTAGAGCTGCTGAGAAGTTCCATAAATGACATGCTCAAACATACGAAGCTAGCATTTGATAAAAGCATAGGACACCTAATTTATTAAAACAGAAAACTATCTTTATCTCTCTTTAAAATGTATAATGGGATGTACCTTTTTTATACAACAGAGTACTACTCAGCCATAAAGAAGGGTAAACTTGAGACATTTCTAGGTAAATGGATGCATCTTGAGACCATACTTAAGTGAAATAAATCTGCCATGTGTAAATATTGCATTGTTTCAGTTTCTCTCGTATGAGAACCTGAAAGTCTAAATAAAGACCAAAATGTATAACACATATTATGAAATAGGTAGAACACGTTCAAATGGGAAGGGGAATTAGGGAAGGGACAGGGGAAAGGAAAGCGAAAAGAAAAAACAAGGAAGAAAAAATGGAAACTAAGTTTTTCTAAGTAAGGAGAGGAACAGGTATTAAAGGGAAGCAACAGAATAGGAGGGGAAAAGGATCAAGTTACATTATGTACAGCTACAAATCCCTATGATGAATGTGATCATTATGTGTACCTAAAATGTACCAATAAACTTATTTTTAAAAATGGGAAAAAATAAATAAGTAGATAAAATGTGCCAATGGGCCGGTAGAACTTACGCTGCATAAGCTTTTGCTATCCTCATGAACATAACTTCATCTCCTCCTTTATCTGGATGGTATTTAAGTGACAGCAAACGATACTGTTTCTTAATTTCTGCTACTGTTGCTCCCTTAAAAACAAGAAAACTTTGTCTTAGTAAAAACAAGCACCACATAAAGAAATTATTATCTCCTATTTTAAACCTATTCCAAACACAAATACTCAATATCCTGACAAGTGACATTTATTCCATTCTACAGATTTTGTCCCATAAATTTTATCTTGCATATTTTTAAATAAAAACATACTTACTTGGTCCTACATATTTACTTTACTGCAGGAAATGATGATTTGAGACTAAAACCACACATGGCCAAATTTAAATAATATAAGCACATTGATATTCAAATATCAAAAAATGATCACAGTAATTAAGACTGATTCAAAAACCCCTCAAATCAAAAGTTAACTTCTCCTGGAGAAACACAGGCTGTGATGATAACTAATGAGGTAAAAGAGAACTTAATGCTTGTAGTGTTTAGTGTTTCACTGAGTTTACAGGCCTACAGCTGGTAGTCTAATAATCTACTAAGAGGATACCAATATGCAGTATAGCATATATGGGGGTCTCCTTCTGAAGCGGTGGCAGCCATTGTTAATTCTCTATTATTTTGTTTCAAAATCCTGTATCATTCTCGTTTTGTTTGGTTGGGTTTTACTGTTTTATCTTGTTTTATTCATTGTCACTGATGACATGAGCAGCTATTTCGAAGATAGCAAAATATACCATGGTAGGCATTTTGAATTTAGTATTATTTTGAAGTCCTATATTGTATTCATTGTCTTTTTAAATTGGTTCTGTTCTGTTTCGTTTGATTTTAGTGAGTCTGAAGGTATGGGCAGCTATTCTGAAGCCAAGAGGCATTATGGTAACCATTGCTGATTTCTTATTATCTTCTTTTGAAATCCTGTGTCACTTACACTGTTTTGTTTTGATTGGCTTTATTCTGTTTTGTTTTGTTGGTTTTATTCTCTTTAAAATAAAATTTTAAAAAGTTAACTTCTCTTATAACCTACCGAATACTTGGTTTTGACTGGTTAATAGTATTTTAATGTTATGTAAACACTTAATAAATTAGCCTGTTTCCTAATCAGTCCCAATATATAACAATAATTTTCCATATAATTTTTGTTGCCCTGATTGCCCTGATTGCCAAGATTACATGCAAACTTTCTTCTACAAAGCAGAAAACCAGAAGATTAACATACTCCTTCCTTTGTACGGCTCTCTCTGGATTAAGCTATCTATTTAGTAAACCAGAAGTTAAAAACAAAACAAAGACAAAACTACCAATCTGTGGTTAGGGGGTAAAAGCTGAAAGACACTGGATTCAACCTGACCGCTAAAGAGCAACAGGACCCCAAACAAAACATGTTTTTCAAATTTGTTTTCTCTACCTGAAAAAAGCTACAGCGTTTCTACTATTAATTTCAGTTCTAATGATCTATTTTATTTCATTTCATTATTGAGACAGGGTATCACTGTGTACACTCCAGGCTAGTCTTAAACTATGTGGCCAGGCTGGCCACAAACTCAGAGATACTCTTGCCTCAACCTCCCACATACTGGGATTACAGGCACGCGGCACCACACCTTGCCCCAGTGGTAATGCTCTAATGATATATTCAAAAGACTGATTTTCTATAGGGACTAATTAATCAAATTCAATCAAGAACCTAAGAAATATACCCAATGATAGCCTGAATTTTTCTGATGATACCAGTTCCCTATAAGTCCCCTCCAGCCTTCATAAATTGCTTAAATGTCAGTTAACACAAGTTGACATGATTTGTATCATTCTAACTAAGACAAATAACCTACCAGTTTATTTATAACTTTTCATTAAACCATTCTCACACACATGTCTTTTTAACTTCAGTCCTTAATAATATGGCAATCCAAAGCTGAGGCTTTGAAAAAGCTACAACTAGAATGATAATAACATAATAAAAAATTTAACTGACCAAGGTCTGTTTCTTTTTGGCATGGACTAATTTCTTTTAGACACGGCCTTAACAATACTATATAATAAAACTACTTACAGGATCCAAATTTAATACTTCATAAGGATTGTATTCTTGATATTCTCGGTCTGTTTTGGAAACTTTGTACACAAGGAATAAGAACAATGCCCATCCTGCAAGCAGAACTATTTTTCTGTTAGGAAAAAGATAAATGAAGTACAAATAAATACAATGGAATGGCTTTCCTGTGAAGGTCTGTCTAGTCTAATGACATTTTGTCAAGGTCTGGGCATAAAAAAATACAGTTTCTCACTTACTATTAACAGAATTTCAAGTATAGAAGTTAATTCAACTTATTCATTTATTGGACTCACTTAATTACATCTATATATTATATACATTTATATAGATAGTATTCATTAAGCTATGTAAAGTGAAGAAAAGACTTTATCTTACTAAAAAGTGTAATTGCTGTAACTGCTTGGTCAAGGGCAATTTTATTTACAAATAACCGGTCAATTGTGCAAAGATGAATAAACAGCCTAATTGATAACAGTAAATCTTTGGAGACAATCTAATCTTCATTTATAGGAAACTAAGCAAGTAAGCCTTTACAAGATACACAAACCATGATACAGCTATCCGATGGAACATTCATACCCAATACAGACACACAAAGGTGTATTCATTAAAAATATAGAGAGGAACATGTAATTCTCCCCTTCAATATGTTGGGTTTAATAAGTGTTTTTAAAGGACCACTGCTGGAGTCCGTTTTGGAGAGGCTAAAGAAAACAGAAACACATATACTCTGAACACTCCCTGTCAATAGGTTTGAAAGCTCTAATGAAGAACATACCCTTCCCATCTATAACTGCACTTCAAGAACTTTGGAAAAAAATAATCTAGAATTAAGTGTATATAATATAAAAGGGTAGTGAAACAAACCAGTAAAATCATACAGTGAAATACTTTCAGGCCACAAAAGTAAAAGTTGCTGTGTTGAATGTAAAAGAGAAAACCACTTTCAAACTCTGTAAAATACACTTTCTGTAAATAAAATAGGAACTAAAAATAAGTATATAAAGTAATCATTGTATCAGCAGTAGCTATCTTTAGGTGATAAAATGAAATGATTATTTTTATATGATCCTCTCATAGCAATTTGTTATACCAAACAGGATTTGTTAAAACAAAAACAAAATTAATCACAGGAGTACAAAGAGACTGAACTGTCTTCCAAACTGTAAAATCTTACCAGTGTTTAATTCTTACGGTAAGAACGAGCTTAAAGTGCATTCCAACCCTCTCATCTGGAATCATGTGGAGTGATAACTTCCTACTCACCTGCTTACCTTTATCATCCTAATTTTTCAAACAAAACCAACCCCTCATTTTCCCAATGTGTGTTAAGGTTTCACAACCATCATGCTTTTTGGACTCCGATCTTTCTACCAAAAATTCCTATTCCCCCTCTCTACCTCCAGCAATTCCATTCATCCTTTAAGACTCGACACAAGCCCCTCCTAGGTAGAGTTAAAAGCACTGCACCACAGTGATACACACATATCCATGTTTACAGCAGCACAGTTTATAAGAGCTAAATCTTGGAAACAGCCCATACGCCCATCAACAGATGAATGGGTAAAGAAAATGTGGTATTCATATACAACGGAGTACCACTCTGCCATAAAGAAGGACGAGCTTCAGTCATTTGTAGGAAAATGGATACACCTCCGGAACATAATCTTAAGTGAAATAAACTGGACACAAGTCTAAAATATCACCGTGCCACTGGGCACCATGGTGGTGCACACCTGTAATTCCAGCACTCAGGTGGCTGAGGTAAGAGAATCACCGAGAATTCAAGGCCAGCGTGGACTACATAACTGAGCTCAAGGCCAGCCAATACTACACAGTGAGACTTTGTCTCATAAAAGGTGAAGGGGAGTCAGGCAAAGGGGAAAAGAGAATAAAAGGAAAAAACAGAAACAAGGACGGGGATTTCGCTCAGCGGCATCAAGTGCCTGCCTCACAAACTCAAGGCCATGATCAAGAGTTCACTCTCCAGGACGAAAACAAAACAAAACCCAGAAGCAAAGCTTTAGTAAATGCGGAAGGGGTGAAGGGAAAGAAGAGGACAGAAAAAAAAAGAAGGCATGTACAGGTACAAATGTCCTTTGATCAATATGATAAATACATATGAGAAATATACACTAACAAAAAATATAAAGTAAAACAATACGAATGATCTACCTTCAAGAAGCAATCCTTAACTTCTCCAAGATGAGCAACAGGAGACGATAATTATAGGCACAAAGAGCATAAACCAGAACTTTTTCTCCTGACTTGTTTGGAGTGTTCTGGGCACTGGATCTCACTCAGTTTTGTATCAAGCTGGCAAAAATTTCCACAACCACTAACCATGCTCTCTCTTTTTTTTTTTTTGTCTTTTTCGTTTTTATCAGTACCAGGGATCAAACTCACGACTGCCTGCTTGCAAAGCAGGCGCTTATGCTACTGAGCTAAATCCCCAGCCCCCTAACCATGCTCTCTTTAACTTCCTGAGAGCCAAAGCAAAGATGGAAAACATAATGGACGACATCACGCTCTGTGCCAGATCTCCTCGGACCACACTTGGTTCCTCTGAAACAGGCCTTCTCCCTGCACGCAGCTTCAGCAATTACTATCTCGTGAAATCACACATTTTTTTCTGTAAGCACGTTTTATATGTCATTTTGGAAACAACTTCTAATTATTATAAACCTCAATTTCAGGAATGCTTTGAAAAGAGAAACATCATACAACTCTTGGTTTTCAAAGTACCCTTCAAAATCAAGTAGCAAAAAAAATTTTTTTGAAAGTTTCTAACCTTATCTAAATTGTTACTGGAATCTAATTACTTTTTTCATCTACACTTTGATTTAAGTAAATCAGTTCGTTAAACACACAAAAAAATAAAATAACCTCAGAAGTGTTTTTAGTCTTTTTTTCTTAAAATGAGATTTATGTGCCAAAAAAGTATTAAACAAAACTAGTTTTTTAAAAAAAGGATTGAGAGGTAAAAAAATACTGTCCCTAATGTTTCACAGCTTAACTCAATATGAAAGCCAACAGCAAAGATAACAAAAATGAACAGAAAGCTGCCCTGTCAAGCCTAACTGTGCCTTTAGTTTCACATCTCTGATTAACACTTACGAGCAAAGCTGAGTTTGCCTCTCTTTACAAAGGAACTAACCAAGATAGTCAAAGCTTACGAAGAAATACAGTTTAATCCCCCTGAATTAACACAGAATCCAACAGACTTACTCTCAGTGAACACGCCAGTGCCCTGTTTAAAAGTATCCTGTCAAAAAAAAGCATGGCTAGGTTGCTGGCTCTGCAAATTTTAGCTGCGTGAGCTCGGGCTTTCTAAATCTCAGTCTGAGAAAAGCAAAAATTTACTTTTGTAGTTAACACAGACTTAAATAAGATAACAATAAAGTACTTCTCATACCGTATGTGCTCAATAAACTTTAATTATCACCCTTAAGTTCCAACTTGACCATGTCACTGCCATGCTTTTGAAATTTTTAAAAGATTTCCCTATAAACTTTAACATAAAACTCAAATCACAACTTACATAAAGTCTTCATTCAAAATGTGACTTATTTTTGTCTCCACCCCTGGATTCCAAAGCCACCATATTCAGACACCTCTCAGACTTACTAATTATCTTACTTCTGTTATAGTCCACAAATTATTTACAGACACATGTCCTAGTGATCAATGTACCCTTATTTTGTATGATACCTAGAAAAGATTAAAAGCAGTAAGTATGCTTTTTACTGAAATTACTTACTTTACAGTGGGGATAATATTTGGCTGGGGTTTTAACAACCGCAAACGATACCACATACATCTTCCATATACTTTTCTGATATTCTTTAGTCGAATTTGCTCTGTCAAGAAAAAAAATAAGTTAAGCCATTTCTCACAGTGAAATCAAAACCAGAGCTAGTATCGTACCATCATTACTACGTTGATATCCTACACAAAATGATATCTATTTGAATAACCTCTAGGAAAATTTACTAGGCAGCTATTCTGTATGAGAATTAATGTCTGTCTGTCTGTCTGTCTGTCTCTCTTTGATCATAGGAATCAAACTCATGACCTCACACCTGGCAGGCAGGCACTGTGCTGCTGAACTCCCCAACCCAACTTCTCTTTGAATATATGTAAAAACCCATTTGAACCCAAACTACTTAGTTACACAATCAGTACTTTTGAGCAACTCTCTTCTTGTATATAAAAAAAGTATGAAAGAGTTAAAACACTGCTTATTAAAGAAGCTAAAGCAGGCATGGTGGCACAGTCCTGTAACCCCAGCACCCAGAGGCAGAAGACCACCATGAGCCTGGGGCCAGCCTGACCTACTTATCTATCTACACACACAAAAAAGAAAGGAAAACACAGGCTTTTTGGTTTGCATTTTAGCTGATCGTGGTAGCACACGTCTGCAACCCAAGCACTTGGGAGGCGGAGAGGCAAGAGGATTGCTAGGAGTTTAAGGCCAGCCCAGGTTACAAAGTTGAGTTCAAGGTTGTCTAAACTACATAGCAAAACCTTGTCTCAAAAAGACAACCAAAAAAAAAAAATTGCATTCAAATTAAGCTTTTACAATCTCCCACTTTCAATATAAAATCAAGGAAATATCTGATAAGGTGTCATAAGAACCACGCTCATGTCTCTCCACGAACCAGACCGCTTGATCTATATAAGGACCGGTCCCCTCATGCCCCCAGGCAGGAGTAGCATATATAATTTTCAACACACGTGATCCTGTATAATCTGTACTTGTAGCACCATGTGCACCACTCTTCTAACCTAGAAATTAACTCTTTAGGAGAATCCATAAACAGTGTCATGGTACCATTTACTAAATATTCATGGGACACATTCCAAATTGCTGTGTAAGACCTCAAGTTAAACACCACTAAGTCTAATGAAACAGCTAGAAGTATAAAATAAATTCCAAAGTCATAAATCAATTTTTTGATTTAAATAACAATATAAAGAGGGGCAGTAGCATGTCTACAGTTCCAGCTACTCGGAATGCTGAGACCGGAGGGCCCCAAAGTCAAGACCGACCCGTGCAATTTAGTGAGGCCCCGTCTCAAAATAAAAAGGCACTAGAAGTTTAGCTGAGGGGTGAACTACTTGTCTAATGGATAAAGAACTAGGTTCAATATGTAGTACCAAAAACAATAGTAAAATACACAAACATGTATCATGATCATGATGTACTATGACTGCTGTAAGCAAATGCACTTTAGTGAAGCCAGAGACAGTCTGGGTCTCAGGAAGGTTACAGGTATGGTCATACGTCATAAACTATACAGTGTTCTTGTTACAGGTGATACGGATCTATCTCAGACAATCTGCTGTAATATAACTGAATAAACTCTTAGCACATATTCATAGAACCCAAGAAAACTGAACAAGTATTTCCCAGAGCTGAGGTCTTCAAACTTGTTTGTATGCTTACCACAAAAGAAGGATCACATACCTTCTTGCAGATTTCTTATTTAGCATCTAAAATTTTTCAACATAATTTAAGAGTTACAAAAGATGTAATTCCTGACATAAGGTTGTTATTTTAAAATAAGTTTCATCATTTTTCAATGAACTCAGTGAATTCTAAAGACAACAGGAATTTCATACCTACCATAAGTATTCATAAAAATTAATAAAACTATTCTAATTTCCCCACATGATTTATCCTAATGTAATATATTTTTACTCTGGTAAGTCATTTCTCATAATGCTGAAATATACTTCTTAAATTATTTTTATTTCCTGTTACTATGAATTTTTTAACTTTAAGAATCTTCAGAAAAGATGAAAAAAATTCAAGAAATAATATCCATCAAGTAACTGTTAGCATTTTATAGCTCTTAGCTGTTTTTCTATTTCTTTTCCTTTTTAATCTCAGTTATTTTAGGGTAAGATGCAGACATCAGTACACTTCACCTCTAAATGCTTTGGCAAATATCACCAAAGAACACTGGTAATGAGTCTATCACACTAAAGTCTAACATCCATAAGGTTTTACATGTAAATTTTCTGGCACCATTTTTTTGATGTTAACCAAGATAACATACGTGTTATAAATAAATTATAAAATGTTTTCACTTACAAGCAACTTGTAAATATCCCAGATATTTAAAAGGGTTAAAAACTAACCTGTATTTTAAATAAAAAGTCTACAATTGAGACTATGGCTCAATGTTTGGTAAAACAGCTTTATCTTTAAGAATATTTCCCCTAAAACTGAAGTTATGTTTACCTCAACGAATTTACAAAAAATATAATCTGGGTAACCTAACTGGCAAAAGCAATCTCCGTTGAAAAACCAATCACAGAACCAGGCCTCAAGGGAGGAGATCCCAGTCGGGAACCAGCACCATGCGCAGTCCCTGCGGCTTGGGGAGAGCTAGTACTACTGTTTCCTGGGAAACAAAACTGCCTCCAATTTAATCAAATTCTTCCTCTCCCTCCTTCCTCCCCAGCTCGGTTCTCTATTATACCAGGCGCTTTAAAAGCAAGGTCAATGACATGACCTGAGATCAGGAACACAGGGAGAAGAAAGGTTGGGAGAAAAAATAAGTAAAAAGAATTATTATTTTCCATTTCCCTAAAACTATAATTGAGGTGGGGAATCATTGTATATCCAAGCACTTGCAGAAAACAGGGAAATGAGGGTAGTTTTGTTATTTATTTTAAAAGATTAAAAAAGCCAAACAACAAAAAAGCTTAAGAGAAGACAGCCCCAAACAAGATCAATTAATGCTTGTTTGGTATTCCTGGTGTCATCTGAAGGCAAAACAAACAAGTCAATCAGTTAATTAACATATTACATAAGCATCCCTTGAAGTGTATCTCACAATTGTTAAACTGTCAGTGTAACCAAGTTTTGGAAAGAATACTTTAAAAATAAAAATGGTTACAGTATAAACATAAAAAACATATCTATAGGATGATCAAAACACCTATTACATAATCCTACATTTACTATGCTTTGGAAGAAATTTTCCAGTGTTGGTAACATAATTCACAATCAAAAGCACTCCATTCCAAATAAGTGCAAATGAAACACCTGCATATTCTGGAAATCTGCTGGATGACTCAAAAAGTACTGTAGCTGTTTGTACAGGTATGCTGGTGCTCACCCATATAGTCCCAGTTTATCAGGAGTGTGAAGACAGAAAGAGCCCTTGAGCACACGAGCACAAGGCCAACCTAAGCAACACAGCAAAATCCCATTCCAAAAAGAGCAGGAGGAAAAAAACCAAAACAACAAAAAAACCTTTGATAATAGCAAACAGAACTAAAGTCAAATACACGAGGAATTTGCAAATACTGTATTTCCAGAAATGTCAGGGGATAAACTAAGCAATACACTTCTTGATATGTGATTTTAAAATATGCAACTAAATTTATAAAGTAAAAATTTTAAGATGACAGGACTTCATCTCTGAAAGGGTATTTAAACTAGTCAAAAGACTTTTTCATCTCATTACTAGTTGGGAAAAGCCAGGCAGTTGGCTCACACCTGCAATTCTAGCTGTTTGGGAGCTTGAAGCAGGAGGATCTCAAGTTCAAGGCCAGCTGGAGCAACCTGGCAATATTTTGCCTACCTGGAGTTTAAATGAATGGTAGGTTGCCTGCCTAGCATGTTTGAGGCCCTAGGTTAAACCCTCACCATCAGAAAAGAATAAAGGAAAGGAAAACTCAGGCCCATCCCACTGTTCCCAGTGAACTGCACGCTGGTTACAGACAGCTTTCTCTCCGTTTACCCTCACCATACTCGCCACACTTCTGCCACTAGATCTTCTGTTCCTGGAACACACCAAACCTCTGCACACAACTTTTATACCCAACCATTTCTCCAGCCTGAAATAGGATTTTCCTCTATTCTTTAGAATTTGAGAGGGCTGGTTCTCCTTTGTCACTCAATTCTCAATTTGAAATCACCTCGTTAGGAATATATTCTGTAAATTCTACCTTTCTTCATAACATTTATTGCTGTGTGGTGTATTTTATTGTTTTCTCTCTCTTCAACACTCCAAAATGTAAATACCAGAAAAACACAGGGTCTCATTAGCACAGTAACACAAGGGACTAGGCTTGAATTCACTAGGTAGCCCAGATCCTCTTTCCTCAGCCTCCCAAGTGCTGGGATTATAGATGTGCACCACCACGCCTGCTGTTCACTATTCACCCCTATATGAATGTCTAACACAATGGCCTTGGAAAATGGTAGCACTTAATACATATTTGTTAAACATCTTGACCATCTCATTTACACCTCTCACTCTGGAAGTAAGTATTGTTATTGTTGTTGCTATTATTGTAGCTCAAAAAAATTATTCTAATTACTATTTTAAAAAAAACCTGAGGCTCAGAGAGATTAAATAACTTATTCAAAGTTACAGTTGTTACCTAAAGAAAAGCAAATACTATTGTGGATTAGGAATGGAGCTTTACCAAGGTTCAGATTCATAGCATGTGCTTTTGAATTAGCCATTTTATTACAACAGGTTTCCTCTAATAAAAAATAACTACAACATCTAGACAGTTCCCAAAAGCAGCCAAAATACACTGTGTTCTTGTTCTCATTAACTACATTTATCTCAATTACATCTCCAAAACAGAAACTATGATATAAAGAAATCTAAGCCAAGAAATCCAAGAGCAAAGGATAGAAACACTTAAATGTTACCACTAATAAAAGCACAGTTAAAAACTTACAAAAAACAACTACCAGAAAAAACTACAAGAACTTCAGCATTAAAGAATACTGAAGATAAAGCAACACACAAATTGGGGAGCCAAGGAGTAAACGGGCCTCCATACTGGGTGCTCCTCAGCGGTTCCTGTGTCGGAAGCTTAAACC